ACACAAGAGATGGTGGGGTTCTCTCATGCAAAAGTCTCTGTAATTAAATCGAAGCAGAGACAAGCCTGGGGCACCCATCTGCCATGTAATTGTCCTTTAGACATAACTGTGAAGGTTCTTTTGTGTAAGAAAAAAAAATGACACTAAAAAAATGTCTTGGAAGTTCATGAGAAGCATAATTAAAAGAACTGGTTTACTTTTTTGAGTTGGAGCTTTTTGGTCAAGGGACTGCATATGGTTCCCTGAGCACTGTCGGAGAGAGGAGTAAGCCCTGAGCACAGTTGGGTGTGACCCCAGAGTCAATCAATCAATCAATCAATCAATAAGCAGTAAAATATAAAAGAGGATCTGAAGGCTGTTCTAGCAAGAAATTAGCCCTGAAGAGTCATTTTCTCTAGTGGCTGGGAATAGACCGGCAGGTACTATTAAAAATAAAAAGTGAATGAAGTGAGAGAGAGACTAAGAAGAGAGAGAAGGAGAGAGATAGAGATGGAGACAGACACAGAGAGAGACAGAAAGAGACAGGGAAAGACAGACAGAGACAGAGAGAGGCAGAGAGACTGAGAGAGAGAGACAAAGAGTGAGACAGACACAGAGAGACAGAGAGAGACAGAGAGACAGAGTGGGAGAGAGAGAGAAAGAGAGAGAGAGTGCACAAGAGAGGCAACTGAGACTGTTGTTCTAGGAAGTAACAAGTGTCCAAGAAGCCATACGTAACCTGAGACAGTAGTGAAGGAAGAAAATGCTCTATGGCTAAGACAAAAATTTGTGCGTTTGTGAAGCCAAGCCACTGTGGCTGGCCCACACCATTAAGCATAAAACACAGCAGTCTGTGGGGCCAGAGGCTGGAGCGGGTTCTGGGTTTCTGCTCCCCAAGTCCCTTCTCTCTGGCTTTCTGTGGGAATGGCCTGGAGCTGGGAGACTCTGTCCAACTGTCGCCTCTGCACTTCCCCTGGCTCCCAAGACAGTTCTTCACTCATCCTTGGTGACGGTCTTGTCAGGGCCGCCCTGGTTGTTTGTCAGATGTGTTCACCTCAGGAGGTTTCTTCTCGAACTGAGGCACGCTGTGTGTGGTGAGTGAGGGGTCACCTTTCCTGCCTTCCTCTCCTTCCTGCCACCCTTTCACCCAGCATCTCATCCTGGGTGCTTTATCACAAACCTTAGAAATGGCAAACAAACATTGCGCTCTTCACACAGCCTCGGGCTTGCCCTTTCAGCTTCATCTTGTTTAGAACTGGCTGAAGGGGAAAGGACGCACCCCAGTCCCAGGAGGTTCACCCAAATAAGAAAATTGGTGGTTTCAAGTCATTATTTTACTGCCTTAAAAAGAGTTGAGAAAGACTTGACTCTAAAATTTTTATTCCAAGAAGGAGCTGGAACAAATTAGATTTAATGGATTGGTCTGAACGCAGCAAACAGCTGACTGGTTCAGAATTTTTTTTGACGATAGAATGTGGAGACATGGTTACACTCAAACTCCTCTCCTTAGGTTCCATCGGCAGCCCTGCCTGTTGCTTGCACTCCTACGCTTAGACCAAACTGAAAAACAGACTTGGCTGAGAGCTGCTGTCCAGGGAAACAGACCAAGGCGCCTATCCATGGGAGCAAAAGTGGAAGGAATGACTTCCAGCTCCATCCCTGGGGAAATCTTTGTCACAGCATTTCTGTTATGTAATGAATTGGGTGTAAGATGCTTTCAATTGAAGATTTCAGGTTTAAAAATGATCACTGATGCATCACAGAACCAATGGGGGGACATTTATTCATAAGGACACAAAAAGACCAGAGAGATAGTACAGAGGTTAAAGCTCTTATCTTGCACACGGCTGCCCCAGGTTCAATCCCGGACACCACACATGGTCCCCTGAGCACCATTAGGAGTGATCCCTGAGCACAGAGCCAGTAGTTAAACACTGAGCACTGCTGGTTGTGGCCCCCAAACTAAGCAACTCCCACCCCCAAAACATTTTATTTCTACTTTCTTAAAGAACTAATAAAAAAATAACTATGGGTAAAACTACATAGACTCTAATAAAAAATAACAATGAACTTTGATGCAAAAAACTGAAATTGGTATTAAATTGAAAGCCATCTACTAAAGAAAATAAGACATAGTAGATAATCTGTTCTTTACTAGTTTCCAATTCATATTAAAGATAGAATAGATTGCTTAGCAGTGTGTATTCTAGGTATAAATGAATGGTCACATGAAATGTGATTTCACTTAGAAATTATTTACTATCTTAAGAAGAAACTAATTTTCAAGTACTCTCAATTGTTTATAGTCCCTTAAATGAAATATACTGATCATTAGCGATAGCACAGCGGGTAGGGCGTTTGCCTTACAAGCGGCCAACATGGCCGACCCGAGTTCGATTTCTCTGCCCCTCTCGGAGAGCCCGGCAAGCTACCGAGAGTATTGGATATGCCAGACACAGTAACAACAAAGTCTCCAATGGAGACGTTACTGGGCCCGCTAGAGCAAATCGACGATCAACGGGAGGGCCTTTACCTTTTTATTAAAAAAATAAATTTATTGATAAAAGCTCTTTTAGACTCTGGGTCATGCTTATTAAATATAAGCAAAAGAAATCTGAGAACCTGAAAGTATTTCAAATTTTTCATGAATTGTTACAGTGTTTTAGGGAATTATCACTTTGTAGTATGACCAAATCTTCATATGTCCATTTCTCATAGATTGATAATTTTATAAATTACATGAACTGGAGAGATAGCACAGCGGGTAGGGCATTTGCCTTGCATGAGGCCGACCCGGCCAATCCAGGTTTGATTCCTCTGTCCCTCTCGGAGAGCCCAACAAGCTACCGAGAGTATCTCGCCCACACGGCAAAGCCTGGCAAGTTACCCGTGATGTATTCAATATGCCAAACACAGTAACAACGGGTCTCACAATGGAGATGTTACTGGGTCCACTCGAGCAAATAAATGAACAATGGGAGGACAGTGCTACAGTGCTACATAGTATTATTGCACACAACTTATATAAATTATCTAATAGTGTAAAATTCAATAATTAAATTGCATTAAAATTAATTAGTCTTAGATCTGAAATTAAGGCATAGGCTGAAGAATAATTGGGTAGGAGAAATATAAGTGCTTAGCAGATACTAAATTTGCAAGAATCTGTCAACATTTAAGGCAAGCAATCTATTAGTAATGTTTTGTCACTGTAAATGATCATTAAATTGCCAGGAAGCAAATACAACTCAGGACCAACATGGTATACATTAAACAAGTTATACAACACAAACAAGCCTATCTAAATAGTGTCAAATATATTAAGTAAACAGCACACTCTAAAAGAGTTGGGAATTTTCTGCATGACTCTGTGCTCTGAGGATGACCAAAATCCAGTTTAGGTTACTGCAGAACCGGATATGTGAAAGCTTTAGTTATTAGATATTAGACATTAGCATTTGAGGATGTTATTTTATAGTAAGTTTCTGTCCTTGAAGACATTCGAGTTATCTCAATGAAGAGTCAAGAAAGAGGAAATGGGGCGGGGGTGGAATTCTAGGGAGGAAGTAGTTAAGATAATTTTATGGGATACAAATGGCCTATTTATTATTTCCCCATAAAGGAGTCGGCTTGCCACTCCGTGGGGTCTTTAATGCGGAGCCTCCTCTGAATGGAGGGCGCACTGGTGGGAGAAATAAAGTCTTTTAGGGCGGGCACTGCCCTTGTGCCCCTGAGTGACAGAGAGGCCAGCTGGGCCTGGGTTTCATGAAGCTGCTCTCTGCGTTGTTTCTAACAGAGGCACTGTCCCCGCCAGCCACCAGGGCAGTGGCCATTGTCAAATGAAGTTCTCACTGTGTGCATCTGACAAACCACTTTCATAGAAATGGGACATTTTCAAGGACTTACGGTAATGAATGTCTTTCCTCCCTAGAGGAAAAGTCATAGCATGCATAGATCTTTGGTGTGTGTGTGTGTGTGTGTGTGTGTGTGTGTGAGAGAGAGAGAGAGAGAGAGAGAGAGAGAGAGAGAGAGAGAGAGACAGAGACAGAGACAGAGAGACAGAGAGAGACAGAGACAGAGAGACAGAGAGAGAGATAGAGAGAGATGTCCTTTGGGGGGATTTAAGGGATATTCAAGTCAACCAGGTCTAATGATGCAGCACTGTTAAGGCCCCGTTGTGCCAGGAACCACCAGGGCCACACTGGCTGGTGTTCCGGAGGCTGTGTGGTACTGGGGATGGAGCCCTGGTCAGGTGTGCACCTTGCATGAGCTCTCACCCCAGTATCATCTCCCACCCCACATGTTTTTATCTTAATCTGAATGGGCTCATCTCTACAGCCATGTGAACACCTCAGTAGATGAAGAGAGACCAGCAAACCAGCATCCTGTCAATCAGGGAGGGATGTGGCAAGGGGCAGAGCTTTTGAGACAGAAGGGATTAGAACCCATTGAACCCTTTGAGAATGGGGTCCACTAAAAACCAGGGACCTGGAAAATCCCAGCCTTGGGGTGCTCAAGGCACTGAGGTGGCCTTTGGAAAATGGTTGCTAAGTCACCACTTCCTGTCAGCAGCATCTTGAAAAGCCCAATGTGGCGGCGATCCTCGTGCCTTTTGGCAGCAGACCAAACAAAACTTTAAAAATAGCACTTTGTATGAATTCTTCAAGACATGACCCATCTATTTGTGATTTTGCTTTCATTGTGCGGCTGGTTCACACATTCTATAAACCAGATAGAAAAGGTTCATATTGAAAAGGTTCATACTGAAAAGGTTCATATTGAAATAATATACCCCGACCTGGGCAATAAAACTAAGAGAAGTGAAGATCACCTAGGAGTGATATTTAGCAGGGTCTGATATTTTACAATTATACATCAAAAAGAAAAGATTTGATTATCAATTATCATTTAGTTATCATTAAACAATTTTAACCATTTTTTTGGAAAGATAAGCCACAGTCTTTATGCTTTTCTTATAATGAAACAAAGTCAACAGAACCGCAGTTAAACCAGACTCCTACCTTAATGTCTTCTGGGTTGATATCAGGATGTGTTTGACACTGCAGAGGTCCCAGAGTTTGAATATGGAAAATGTAGAGGAGAAATTCATTGCGGGCAGAGAATGGCCAGCCCACTTCCAGAACTGTGTCGCTGATGGTGCTTGGTCCTATGTTGTGCAGCTGTGAGTGAGGAGAATTATCGTGTCATTGACAGCCTAAGGTGGGACAAGGAGTCTCAACTCCAGGGTGGCTGGATCCACTTTCAGAGCACAGATTTGGGGTTTTAAGTCCACTGGACTATGGTCATGGAAATGAGGAAACAGCCTTCTAGGGCAGGAGAACTTATTTAATTAATTATTTTAGTTATTTTAATTGAATTGCAGTGATATACACAGTTACAAAGTTGTTCATGATTGGGTTTCAGTCATATAATGTTTGCAACATCCGTCCCTTCACCAGTGTACATTTTCCATAACCAAGGGTTCCAGTTTCCTTCTGCTCCCAACCCTGTCTGCCTCTATGGCAGGCATCTCTCTCTCTCTCTCTCTCTCTCTCTCTCTCTCTCTCTCTCTCTCTCTCTCTCCTCTCTCTGGCAGAAGGAGTTCTTAAGGCAGGATGAGATGGTGCTTAAGGGCCCTTCAATTTGTTAAATTCTCCAAGTAGATCTCAGCAAAGACCATCTGAACCATCTCCAATAATCATGAGGTTTACCAAAATTTTAGATGAATTTAATCACAGGGTTAGAAATGCATTTTTAATGATGTGCTTTCAAAATCCAGTCCTTCTTGCCTCACAATGAAATCTGCCTCTTTCCCTGACTACCGACTTGTCAATTGCAAACAGATGCTCTCTCTCTCTCTCACTCTGGGTCTCTGTCTCTGTCTCTCCCTCTCTCCGTGGCTCCAGCAGTTCATGGCAAGAGCACAGTTCAAAGCTCCTTCTGTTTTAATCAGCAGATCTCAGGAAAAGAAAGGCCGTATCTTGAGAAAAGACAAATGTTTGAAACCCAGGAATCCTGTACTTAAAGGACACAATACAGCTTGTAAAAAATGCACCATGTGTATTTAGAGTTACTGAGGTTTCAAAATTCACTTCAGAGTTTGCCGGGACCTTTTTGCCTTGGCTAAACTCGCTCTGCTTCTGACAAAGACAATAATCAATAAGGTAATTTATAATGAGCGTTACTTAGTAGGTGGATCATTTAATTCACATGATCAGAACAGCATGTCATCAATTGACAATTGGGGTCTATTTAGGGACTTGAAATTAGCATGTAGGGAAGTTTTTTTCTTTTCTTTTTTGGCAATACTGATCATTACCCTAAAATTTTATGATCTCTTTATGCTAAGATTCAAAGGAGGGCTGCATGAGAATGACCTTGAATATGTTTCAAACTTTAAGCACTACCATTTTTTTGGCAGAAAGTGGTATATATCAAGTCTAATAAATTATTTGTCAGCAATTCTTCCCATGAGATTTCTAATCGGAGTGCCCCGGGGACTGTGTTATCTTTTTGCTATCACGAGAGTCTAAGGTCCTGCTTTGATCTGGCTTTGGACAGGATTTAGGATTCGGAGCAAGATCAGGCAGCTGACAGGTTTTTCCTGCTGACGCTGAGCAGAAGCTGATGCTTTGTCCCCGTGCATGGGGCCAGCTCATCCGTTTTGAAATGGCTTTAGGGTCAGCCCCAGAGAATGCCACTGGTGTCCCTGGTAGTTTGAGATGAATATGAAGGTTGCAGCCAGAATTACTAGGTCAGGGGCATGAGTCACACAGACAAGTGAGATGAAGCATAAATCAAAAGGAGCCACAACAGAAAACGGCTGAGAATATAATTTTTAATCAAGGTTCCATTCCTGCTTCCTTGAAAAAAACACGAATTTTTCATGAACACCATTGACTTTGTAAAAACAAAATAAAAGGGGCCCGGAGAGACAGTGCAGGGGTTAACACATGTGCCTTACACTATGCCTGGGTTAATTTACATGTTGGGGCCAGAGTCATAGCACAGTAGCTTTGGCGTTTGCCTTGCATGTGGCTGATGTAGGTTCGATCCCTGGCACCTCATGTGGTTCTCAGAGCCTGGCAGAGCCAAGTGTGAGCCATGAACACCACTGGGTGTACCATACCCCCAAACCAAAAAATTTCATGTTTTTGATGATGGGTCAAGTTTCTTGTGTTTACATAATTTAATACCCATGGTGGGAATAGATCATCAGGTTACTTTTATGTGCTTTTGTTTTGCCTTTGGAAAATATATACTGGTCAGTGGATTATATAACATTCCAGAATAAGTAATTTAGATCTGATTTGGTTTCCTAGAATAGAAAAAAAAATCCTTATCTACCACACATATATCTTATATGTACAATTTTTTGAGGCTATATCAGTAAATAATTGATGACATTTTCTTTCTGGTAACTTCTGCTTGGGGATTTTCAGATTAAGAGGTGGCTGGGCTTTAGGGGCACCTGAAAATATGAGAAACAAAAGGAAGTCTAGGGAGCCCGTCATTTTTATTCTTGGGTTGTTTTAACATTAGAAAGAGCATTGGGACCAGGGCAATAGCACAGTGGAAAGGGTGTTTGTCTTACATGCAGCCAATCTGGGATTGATCCCTCGCATCCCATATAGTCCCCTGAGCACTGCTGGGAGTCATTCTTGAGTGCAAAGCCAGGAGTAACCCCTGAGCATTGCCAGGTGTGACCCAAAAAGCCAAAAAAAAAAAAACAGGTGAAAAGGGCTCAGAAGGAGTGTCTCTCGCCTCTTTCCTACCTGTGAGTATAACTCAATAAATCTAACAGCTCTGAGCCTGCATGGTGTCCTTTAAAATACTAGGAAGTGTTTCTTAGTAAAGGATATACAAACCCCCTCCTCCTTCTCTCACGCACCCCCCGACCCCGGCCTCCCCAATACAACTCTGACACAGACAATAGCTACCTCATAAATATGTTCCACCAGTGGACCAACTTCTTCCTCTGTGTGGGGCTTCTCTTCCGGCTCCCAGTTGTGAATGGGCAGGACAATCTGCAGAGGGTGGGAAACCCTGCAACAAGGAACATGAGGTTGATGGCAGCTGAGGGGACACAGCAGGCATCAGCAGTGTACAGTGTACAGTCACAGCAGCAGAAAATCAGGGTCTCCGCGTATTGGGGAAACTGTTGCTAGGCAGGAAAAAGGATTGTGGCGCTGAGGGAAAGAACTAAAGGGGTTGAGAGGACCGGAAGCAGCCAAGCAGGTGTTCAGTGCCAGTCTCCTGTCCAGATACAGGCTCTGTACAGACGCTCAGCTCTTGGGCACTTGAGAGCAGAGGGGAAAGCACTGAGGTGAGTGACAGATGCACGTGAAAATGAAAACATGTGCATCGCATGCCACCTCCTCCGGTGGGTAGGGTACACGCTAGTGAGCATGGGGGACGGAATGAGGAGCTGCCTGTTTGAAGCCATATCAAGAAATGTGAGCGTTCCTGTGTGTGGATACAAATCCAGATGTCAATGTGGTGCGTTAAATGTTTATGTGTGAAGAGATACTGCTTTTAGTTAAATACTTTCGAATACAAAAGTGGCTATTTATACGTTCCCCTGCCTTGTGGATTCCAGTTAATGTGCCCATGAAAGCGAGAGAGAGAGAGAAAGAGAGAAAGAGAGAGAGGATCGTTTTTTGCCTACAATTTATACTTAGCAAGTTAACACTGAATGAATGAAGTATAGGACATGGAATATTCTCTAATAAAAATGATAACACATCACAGTATCATTTAAAATATTATTAAGAAGAATTCTATTAATAATAACACTTTCTCAGGGGGGAGATAATAAGGAGATCAGTCCCTTGCATGTGACTAATCCTGGCTTTATCCCTGGTATCTAGAACCTCCAAACAAGCTCTCAAGGTCCATATATATATATATATATATATATATATATATATATATATATAGTCCTCCAAGCACCTCTGGGAGTAATCTCTGAGCACAGAGCTAGGAGTAAGTCCTGAGCACCAAGGGGTATGGTCCCAAAGTCCTCCCATCCCAATAACGCTTTCTGGCATGTTTTACAAAAATGGTGATCTTAAAAGAACTCCTAGACTTTTATGTAAAAGTAACTTCCACAGAAAGTATCTCTCTGGCAAGCAGATGCCTTCGAGAAATTTTTCAGGATTTCCTGTAATTAGTAAAGCCACTAGCAGCTTCAAATATTATCATTTTCCCCCTCCTCTTGCTAATTGCTTTCTAAAGTAGAAAGTAAAACTTATCAGGTTAAATTCTGACCCTAGGGTGAGTCACTTAATTTCTGTTTCTATTTTGACTTCTGGGATATTATGATAAACTCCTGGGGTTGTATGCCCAAAGGATTGGAAAGCAACTACATTACTTTTTCTGATCAAGTTTTCTGTGTTTGTTTACATTATCTTTCCGAAGGGTGAGAAAAGTACCTTTAAACATTGACAGCTGAAGTTACTGTCTAAAGAATCAAAAAGAGTGATTCCTTAAAAAATCAGTTTGGACCAATGTTTTTGCTGAATCTTTCCAGGAAGTTTTGCAAAATGAGAACAAACTGTGGTCAATTTTTGGTTGTGAATCCAGCAACTAAAATGACTTCACCACATAAATAACACAATTTTAACAATCTGATTATTGGAAAAAATGAATAGAAAGCATGTCCCGTCTACTAACTTAAAAACTGCTACGATGATTGATGACAAAAATACATTTTTAAATGTTTACCTAATAAAATGGGCATGTGAGAATAAATAGTTACATTAAGCCTTAGCTGCCTTGAACTGATGGATTATGGACTAGAAACAGTTTCTAATTTAAAATTTATTTTGGAATTGCAAAGCAATTCCAGTTTAATTTTGTTTACCAAAATGAGGATAAATAGCTTAAAGAAGACAAGATTTCATATACACAAGTTGTAAATTTTAAAAAGATAATAAACTAAAAAAAATCATGCTTAGGTTTCTTTTCTGGTTTTTAAAAATAGTGATTTTTTATCCAGAAGAGGGCAGGGATTAAACTGAAATTGCAGAAAAAATGAAATACCTAGATTAGTTCCTAATATTTGTAAATCAAACAAGCTACTTCCCATGAGCCAACACGTGAGTTTAAGAAAAAAAATCACAAAGGAAACTAGAAATTGTTTTGAGTTGAATTACAATGAAAACCCAACATCCAACATCCCAACCTACCAGGATATGCTGCTCAGGAAGTTCTTGCAGAGAAATTTACAGTGCAGAAAGCTTATGTAAGAAAAAGTAGTGCAGTCTCTAACTAAAGAGAGGGGAGTGGGGGGTAGGGAGGGAAGGAGGGAGGGAGAGAGAGAAACAGAAGAGAGAGAGAGAGAGAGAGAGAGAGCTCCAAATGAACAGAACAAAGGTTATCACGACAGATACAGAAGCCAGTGGAATAACAGAGCAAGAAAATTTAAAAATCAATAAAGCATAAAAGTGTATAAAAAGATTACTTAATTCTAAACAGACTGATCAGTAAGAAAGCAAGAAGATACAAATTGCAGATATCAGGAATAATGAGGTGCTATCATTAAGGTCCTACAGACAGTAACAGGAAAATGAGAAAATATTATTAGTAACTTTATGCCAAGAATCTAACAACCTAGTTGAAATAGACAAATTCCTTGAAAGAAAAACTCACAAAGTCCATTCAAAAAGACAGTTAATATGAATAGCCTTACACCTAAGAATAAAATGGAATTATTAAAAATCTTCACACAGAAACAAAATTTTAGGTTCAGGTGCCTTCGCTGATGAATTTTTACCACTTAAGGAAGAAATAATACTAATTCTATATATTATCTCCTAGAAAATAGAGCAGATTGAAAAATACTTTCAACACATTGAATTGTGCTAACATCCCTCTTATTTCAAAATCAGAAAATTATGTAAGCAAAGAAAACAACAGATCAATATTTCTGATGAACAGAGATGCAAGAAAATTAACAAAATTAATTAACAAAAATATAGCAATTATAATACCATACATGTATAGAATTAAGTATACATATAGTGTATAGTACAGAGTATATTCATATACTATATATGACTATAACATGATATGAGATACTTATTGTAACTGTTTCTTCCTCAGAATGCAAAATTCAGTGGGTATAGTACAGAGTATATTCATATACTATATATGACTATAACATGATATGAGATACTTATTGTAACTGTTTCTTCCTCAGAATGCAAAATTCAGTGGTTCAAATTTCAGTCACAAAAATTTTACTCCTTTCATGGTTATACAAAGGACGATGATTTAATTATCTTCATGGCAGAGAGAACAGACTAGACAGAAGCAAATAACCATTTACATGAGGAATTCTCAAGAAAACTAGGAAACAAGAGGAAGGTAACAGAAAACACCCTGCATTGAGCACCAAACATCATGGTAAAAAGGGCTTTCCTTGTGGGCATAGGAATAAGGCTGGGGATCTTGACTTCTGGGCAGCCCTGTTCTGGGAGTCCTAGCCTGCACAGTGAGGGAAGAAAAAGGAATGAGAGGTCAGCTATGGAGTAAGCAACTTAACCTTGACCCCAGTGAGCTCACTGTCCTCTAAGTTCTTGAATATTGTGCCCAAGAAGAAGGTCTATCTTTGTTTGCTGGAACCTTGGGTCATGCTGGATATTCTTAGTTTTTTGTTTTCCTTTGAGGCCACACCTGGTGGTGTTTAAGGATTAATACTGGCTGTGCTCAGATGGTGCTTGGAGAACCACCTATGATGCTGGGAATCAAACCCAGGTCTGCTACAGGCAAGGCAAGAGTCTCCCCCGCAACACTGCATCCTCCCACCTTGCTCCCCCCATTGCCCTATCTCTCCAGCTCCTGCACTGGATATTCTAATATGATTTAGGGTGGGGGAGGGTCCAATGTGAAAGGACATTGTGATTGATCATAGGAGCTTTGCCCACACGATATGCATACTGTGGTTAGTTAAGTGGTCAGCCGATCAATCATGCCTGGGGAAAAAAGTGTTAACAGTTTCTGAACACTGAGTTTGGGGTGGGTTTTCCTGACTGGCGATACACTACACACCAGAAGACAACACATCCTGACTCCATAGTCCCTGTGTTTTATTACTTCCTAGATTTATGGTCTTCTTCCTTTTGTTGATTTTAATCTGTTTATCTTTCCCCTGTAATTCATGGGCACCATGGGAGTGGTTGCTTTCAATGAGTGCTGAGAGTTCTCAGCAAATTATCTAATACTTTGAGGTTCAAGTGATAGTATAGCCTTTAAAGTGTTTTGATAGTCTTTGTTGATTAGCATATGGGGTACACTGAACTTACCAATCAGAGACTAATGATGGGTAGAAAAGAATGAACATTTAGAACTGCTACCTCTAATGCATTAGGAGAATTCCATGTAATTTTCACTAGGGTTTTATCATAACTCTGACATACAGAAAGCCGTGACCATAACCATTCTGACACCTCGTTTACTACTTACCCTCTGATTTCCACTTGAGCTACAGCAGTGATGTTGATTTTCACATCCACAAAATTACTGCCAGGGTTGTCCTTGTTGGAACTAAAACACAGTCACATATGATTGAAATATTTTCTCAGATGTGTTACTATAGTATATGATCTTAAAAACATTTTTTTTTTTAGAAAGCAGTGGCATTTTCTTTTCTTTTCTTTTTCTTTTTTTTCCTTTTTGGGTCACACCTGGTGATGCTCAGGGGTCACTCCTGGCTCTGTACTCAGAAATCACTCCTGGTAGTGCTTGGGGGACCATATGGGATGCTGTGAATTGAACCCAGTTCAGCCGCATGCAAGGCAAATGCCCTACCTGCTGTACTATCGCTCCAGTCCAGCAGTGGCATTTTCATTCTAAACTATGAACTATCAGAACCCTTTGTAATGGAAATCCTAGGATCAGTGATGACCAAAATTACTATGTTTCTATGAGCAGAAAACTCAGTAGAGATCTACAGAAGCAGACACATGTTTCTTTCCACAGCTAACCCAAAAAGACAGTGTGGTGAGTTCATTCTTTAAACTTCGACCCTGGGCAAATTCTTTCGCTGCTCTGCTCATCATGTTCAGTGCTCCTCAAATAAGCAGGGACAGCATCGACTCCTGATTTTCCATGCTAATAAAGGGGAGAACTGGCATGAATAATCCAAGAGCAGTCCATAATGGAAAAAGCATTTGTGTTTGGCTCTGGAATGTATCATGCCATACATTGTTTTGGCAGCAAATCGATCTCCCTTTCAGTTTACTTCTCAAGAACATTAAAGTAAGTCTACACGCACGACATTCACTGCTTGTGCACTGGCTGGCCAGGGTCAGGGGAGAAGCAAATTAGAAGCTTGGCCAATGGAGAGTAGATGCAATATGCAAGGAAGTCGGGCTGGTTTGTACAAAGGCAATTCCGAGATGACACAGGTTTGCCAGATGCATCAAGAGCCCCAAGAACTAAAGTGCAGAGAGTGCTAATTATGGGCTCATGCCTGGCATGGGTGAGGATCTGAGTTCCAACGTTGGTAGGGCATGATCCTCCTGAGTACCCCATGTACAGCTCTGGTAACTCCTGAGTATGACCAGGGTCACCCTGGTAGACCCCAGCACTGCTGGATACAAGCAGTTCTGCATCTTGGGTTATTACATCAAACTGCCTGGCCCAAGTATCTCTGGGACTGCTCTCTGGGTTCCCTGATTAATGCTTGGAAGGTCCCCTTATCTGCTTCCCCTCCTTCCTAGAAGGGCCATGTTTAATAATATGTCTTTGAACTGGGTAAAATTAAGTTTGTCATTTTATCTCAAATAGAATTAGATAAGCACATAACTTATAGGAACATTTACATAAAGATGTTAAATACTCATTTATAAACACACATTTGTGAGTAAGTGCAAATCACTTAGCAAGAAACCTGTACTGTCCAGCCCATTGCCAGGCTTTGGGTTCAGGTGCTATTTCATCGATTGCCCTACTGTGCTTTCAGCCCTGGAATCTTCCCCAAGATTATTCATCTGTAGCCCACCAAGTGGTGACACCACCACTACTAATAGACTGAGTGCCTATCCAGGTCTCATTAAAAGAATGCATTCTCTCTCTCTCTCTCTTTTTTTTTTCCAAAAAAAATCATTGCAGGTGGTAGGGCAGGTCTTGATTAGCTTTCAAAGCTCTCCAAATTCAGAGGCTGGAAAAGGGACGAGGGGGTTGACTTTAAAAGGACGGGGAAACTGGAGGCTGGGGGAGTTCCCACAAAGCTTTGGAAAAAGTGTGATTGTGTAAAGCGATAACTTGTGTGTGCTGGCCACTTAAACTGCAAGCACGCATAGGAGTTCTAAACAGGCAAATGTCAGGCTCATTTCCTGTCATGGGTATCACTGTGATGAGCCTAGACGGACTTGTTCACAAAATTTTGAACCTCCACTTCCGGGCCACTTTATTGTGATCACATCTGTGGTGGATCAGCCAAGTAAAAAAAAATCATCCCATATAGTTTATTTATTTATTTTTCTTAAAGGCAGGATTTTCAATGACTAACCACTAAGAAGGCATTAAGTAATTCCACTTGTTGCAAACTCGGCTGAAAATGGGGGCTCTTTAGTTTGTAAAATTGAAATCAAATGGTCCTACCTATTACTTGACTTTTGTTCTATTTTCTATGCACCATTTCTGTGCAGTAGTGGAACTTACTGTGTGTGTGCGTGTGTGTGTGTGTGTGTGTGTGTGTGTGTGTGTATGTGTGTGTGTTGCAGGGAATTTATCCTATAATTCTGTTGCATTCTGTGTTTCTGTTGATGGGATTTCCATGTCCCGGAACATGCTGACATGTAACTTGGAGGCAGGCATTGAAATCCTCCAGGGCAAGAGGCCTCTGATGTTAAGTTGACAGAGGCTGTTTGGAAATGAAGAAAAGTGACAAAGCTCAGGGGATGCCTCTAAGCTTTGGCTAATCAGGGTCGTCCTGTGCCCACACAGCTTTGGAACTGATTGGCTAGATAAGTCCATCCTACTCTCTGTCGCTGAAGTCCAGAGTAAGGAGAAAACAGTAAGAATTGTGTGTGGTACTTTGGTTCTAGATATTAACTTTCTCTGAGGACACAGATTTCATAGTCCTGCAGAATCAGTGTGACAGACAGACAGCATGATGAAAAATGGAAATTCAATGGCCCTTGTGTAGTGAGAGCTTGTTCTGCTTTTCAATTCCCCCTTCCCCCCAGAACCTAGAAATATAAACAAGGCATTTCCCAAAGGAAAATTACTGGGACTGCCTGAAACTTTGGGGAACATCACATTTTTTACAGATACTTGAAATGATTTAATAAGCTTTTGGTGAAAATATGGTTTTTTTACAGAAGAATCTATTCCATCTACATCTCATCACTCATTTATGGGGGGGGGGAACTCTAAGATTAAACAGGAAAACATTTAAATTAAAATTTTAAAAGAACAAAAATACTCTCATTAAGGCCACAAAGGTCCTCCTGAATGGAAATTTCTAAGTAACTTTGAAAATCTTCCTCCCTCAAAATCTAGCATGAAGTTGGGGTGGAGGTTGACATTGTTTGCGTGTATGTGTGTGTGTGTGTGTGTGTGTGTGTGTTTATTCTTCTCTGTTTTTATAAAGTTGATGTTAAAAATATGATATGTTGGGCTGGGCACAGCAGGTAGGGCATTTTCCTTGCATGTGGCTGACCTGGGTTTGATTCCTAGCATCCCATATAGTACCCCAAGCACCGCCAGGAGTAATTCCTGAATGCAGAGCCAGGAGTAACCCCTGTGTATCGTCAGATGTGACCCAAAAACAAACAAAAAAACCCAATATGTTGATATCTTAACCCCTCATTGAAACAGCTGTTCAAATGTCATCCATAGTGCAAAATAACTATTCTAGAAGTCCTCACACTCAAAAGATACTTCTTGCACATCAAAAAGTATGTTACCTTACTTGGCCTAATAACATTCAGAAACCCAGTTTTGGTTACTGACTTCAGAGTCATTTTCTTGTCAGAACGGGAGTTCAACATGCTGGGCAGCATGGGTGATATCTATATCTGTAGAACTTTGAAAACTGCAGCGCATACACACTCACACAGATATGCATATACCTCATGAGGTACCTAACTTCACACATTTTCATTTGCCTTGGTCTCTGATTGATTCCATTCCTTCACTTTGAATACAGGTCTAAAACCATTAAATGAATCCCATTATCACCTAATGGGTTGAAGTTACCAGCCAGAAAGCCCTGACCCACATCACGCTCTCCACTTGGGATATCCTGCTTAGCAGATATTATTTTTGTCCATGATGGAGTGAGGAGAAAAGACAATGAAAACTGGCAAATCTGCACCTGACTCTCCCAAGAGCATGAACTTAAGAGTAGGGAGGCAGAGATAGGGCTCTTCTTTTGCCTGCAATTGCTGGTCTTATTAGGTCCTCTGTCTGCTCAGTAACTCAGTCATCCTGGAGAAGTTAGATTTCAAGCTCGCAGAGGCAAAACCTATGATTTTGTGGGCAGAAATGTTGTTCTTGGGGTTGAGCTGACCCCCACCTGAAATCACAGTGGGGTATGTGAAGGGATATTGGAAGGAGAAGGAAGAGGTGGGTGTAGCAGATGGAGGAAAGGTGGAGGAGGGATATGCGGATAGGCCAGGATAGAGGTTATTACAGGTTATTACAGATTCACATCTTGGTCTATAGACTGACTCTTCCTCAAACCCCCGAATGGTGGATGTAGGGGAGGGGGTGGTATGGAAATATCTGGGCAACACAGGAAAACTTTGTCAAAGTTTGGGCTCGTGAATCAGAAGAGCTTCAAAAGAGAAGCAGCTTAACCAGTTGCATTTGTTTGACTGTGGATGATGCCCTACTGAATGCTAACGATGATGGAGGCATTTAGAGGGCTGACCTTCTGATTTGCAGGCTGAAGTTAATGCTCGTGTTTGTTTTCTCCAGATGTGGAACCGTAAATCGGAGGCCCAGAGAATACTGAAAAGCAAACAGACACATGACACTAAGTTATTGCAGAAGAGCATTGGGGAGGGGCTTGCATAGAATTTTTATTTTATTTTTTTAACATTCACCCTCCTTGGGCTTCTATCCCAGGCAGATGATCTGGGACAGAGATCAGAGCCCCTTAGACTCCAGGCTCCACATGACATGGGTCTCTCTGTTCATCTGAATCTTCTCTTGTCACTTTTCTCACATGCTAAATTGAAACCAACCTAAATTGGAGGTGAGGTGACTGACTTAGAAGTAGCAATACTTCTAATGGCCCTTTGTGTACGTACTTGTGCCTACAAAGTTGGAAGATGCTTCTGGTATCAGGACAATTGCTCGAGCGGCCCAGTAACATCTCCATTGGAGACTTTGTTGTTACTGTGTTTGGCATATCGAATACGTCATGGGCAGCTTGCCAGGCTCTGCCGTACGGGCGAGATACTCTCGGTAGCTTGCCGGGCTCTCCGAGAGGGGCGGAGGAATCGAACTCGGGTCGGCCATGTTGGCTGCGTGCAAGGCAAACGCCCTACCGCTGTGTGATAGCACAGTGGGTAAGGCGTTTGCCTTGCAGGCAGCGGACCCAGGTTCGATTCCCAGCAACCCATATGGTCCCCCAGCACCGCTAAGGGTAATTCCTGAGTGCATGAGCCAGGAGCAACCCCTGTGCATTGCTGGGTGTGACCCAAAAAGCGCAAAAAAAAAAAAATCAGGACAATTAAGAAAGGATAAAGATTCCCAAATTGTATGTGCAACATATTTCAGCCATGGTTATAAGTCTTGAAATGGAAATAGGAGTGAGTGTGTCTTCTAAGAAAATGTACCAGGAAAAAAATAACGTGCTAGAGCTAGGTTAAGCTTCTGAGTGTACGGATTATTTTCTCTGGCTTTATTTTCCTAAGTTTTTGAATGGCTTCTAGCAGTTTTAAGAGTTGGAGTTTTAAAGCTTGGCGAAAAATAAATCCAATGATAATATAAACTCAGGATACAAATAGTAAGCTACGTCACATAATTGTATTACTCATTTCCCCACATGCTATCACATGCTATCCCAAGGCTCTCACATAACCACAAGTGCCACTGGAGGATGTAGAGATGAGATTGATATTTTATACCCAGGCAGTCATCTGAGGATTAGGGAGATTAAGTGTCTTGCTCCAGGTACAGAGCAGACGAATGGCAGAGTTGGAGTTGAAATTCCTGCAAACTGACTTCAGAGCTTGCACTCACAAGCACTATAGTAGGAGGCTCAGAAATAAGGAAAACTCATGTTACTTGGAACCTGTAATAATATCAATGAACAGTGAACTTGTCATCTGTATCAGATGTTGTCATTTCTCTCTGAATGTGCAATGAGCCAGGCTCTTTGCTACTGATGTGATATATATATTATAATATATATATATATATATATATATATATCATATCATTCATTGCACTGCTCCCAACCTTCTTCTGTTTCAACTTGATGTGTACAAGTTATCTCAGGTGAAAAATACAAGGCTGAAGTTTAGTATCAGCCATATGAAATTATGAAACTTGTGCATCCTTATGTCTTAGCCCTGATGGACTCCTTTATAATTCCAAATATGCCATTTTTTGTAAGACCCCTGCAACCTTATAACACACTCTTCTCTCTTCTTTGGAAAACTTTAGGTCTTTTCCTGATTTTTCTATTTGGCAAATACCCACTCATGCTTCACAGCTTAGGGCAAGAGATGTTTCCTATAAAACATCCTCCAATCCCACAGAGAAGGTAGGACTGAAATTTATCTATTTTTTTTCTGTCCTCTTTACCCTCCTTCAATCACTCAAAGTATGGTAGTACCAATTTTTGAGTTTCTAATTGAATGGGAATTTTGATTTTTATCTTGATGTTGTCAGATTAGTGTCGTACCAGGCATGTTGGAGAAATACAGAAAAACTGGTGGTAAGAGCGATAAGAAAGTGTTATTTTTCGCATACTTCTGGTGATAGGGATTCACTATCTTGAGATTCACTTTCCTTGCATGCTAAACCGAAACCAACTGAAGTTGGAGAGAAAATTGACTCCGATATAGCAAGACTTCTAAAGACCCTCAGTGTGTGTTCTCAAGCCTTGTGTACGTACTCATTTTGTTCTTCACTCAGCTCATGAAGAAATACAGTGAGGGGGTGACAGTTTCATACTCTTTAAGAGGTGGTGTTTTTAGATAGCTCTCTGGTCCTGGGTTCTAAAGTGCCTTTGCTGAACCACCATTTTAATTTTTTTCTGCACGTAACACTTCATGAGTTTCTGTGAATTTTGTAAAATATCACCCTATAAATATTTTCGATTTATGTCAGCATACAATGTAGCTCTTATATAAAGATGCCATCCCTACACACAAATGAGAAGTTAAAGTTCCTCATACTATCTTGAGCGTATTGTGAAATTAAGGTTAAAAAGTCACCAGAAAGCTCTATTTTTAAAATATTATCAGGAGTGGAGTAAATATTCCTTGCTATTTATGAGACTTTTCAATTATTAGGACTGCTTTGACATTTGGGATCTTACCACAAGGCACTGAGAGTTTTACTTTTTAAATTACCAAATGAAGAAATAAATAAAAGTGTTTTATAACAAAACAGAATGCAATAAAGTTTGATGTGTTTAAGGGCACTGAAGGGTGAGATAAGAAAGCTATTAGGTTTCCTCCGCTATAGACCTCAGAGATAAACGAATACAAACAATTTACTTCCTTGACTTCAAAAGGTTATTTGCTGGTAAAATGGATTGACATCCTTTCACATAAACACATTTGTGGTTAAGACCACACTGCAATTTTGCCCTCCGCTGTGACATTGGTGGTGAGTTTTTGTCCTATGCTTATCCTTATTCGGTGAGAATATTCCATGATCTCTGATCTGGAGTGAACAGTTTTAAAACTGAAAAAATACTGCACGCCTGGATCACTCATAGCTGCTAATATCATGCCACCAATGCATTCATTTTTCTTTGACCTTACATAGACCTCTTCATATTAAATTCAGCAGTTGGATGTTTTTTTCCCTGAAAACTAACAAGAGGATTTATTAGCTTCTAGATAAAAGGATTCTAATGAAAAATGTTCTGATATCTCAGTATAGACATCCCATTCTATCTTTCATGACTTTGCTTAAAAGTCTCATCTGTTATTCATTAGATTTTTATCCAAGTACTTCTTACAGTTTTGCTTATGGCACAGAAGGTAGAGACTGTGTTTAGGCCTGGTTGAGTCTTGATTCAGACCTTCATTACCAATGAGACTTTGGTCAATTTGTTTAATTTTTCTGAGTCTTATTTTTCTTTCTGCTTAAAATATTTGACTTACTGTGTCATTGGTGGGTGTAAAAAGTCAAGAAAATAGTGTAAAAACACACAGTAGAGTTTGCTGATCATTGGTGAGAAACACTTATCTTTCTTTTTATTTTTTACTTCTTTTGACCTAAGAAGTGAGTTTTTCTAATGACTTAACTTTGGAAGTTCTTAAATACCCATAATCAATGCAATATAATTTATTATAATCAAAAATAAAAAAAGAAAAAGAAAAAAAACAAACCTCAAAACCATTATTTAGTCACATCCTAAAATAAAATTGGGAATAGGTACAACCTGATTAAGTGTCAGATCCTTAATTTAATGTGTGAAACACTGGACAAAATGATTCATTTTATGGCTTCTTAGCATCTTTAAGATGTCCAGGTGCTTCTGTCATTCCCAGAGGAGAATATGACAGTTAGCAATGGTGATAGAATGTCCTTGAAAAGGTTTATCTCAAGGACCAAGAACTACTTGGAATACACTTTTGGGACAATCCTAAGCAGTTACAAATGGTCATGAATTTTTGTTTTTTTTTTAAATTTGCTTTTTGGGTCACACTTGGCATTTCACAGGGGTTCTCCTGGCTCATGCACTCAGGAATTCCTCCTGGCGGTGCTTGGGGGACCATATGAAATGCTGGGAATTGAACCTGGGTTGGATGCATGCAAGGCAAACGCCCTACCCACTGTGCTATTGCTCCAGTCCCAAATTGTTATGATTTAAAAAAAAATAGTCCATTTCATTCACAGTCATAAATATCTAATTTAAATAGAGGCATTGTTATGATTTGTTTCTGTAGTGTTTGCAGATTTTATGGCTTTGTGAAATAATAGCTTGGAAGTTCTTCTGTTACTGTGTAGATTATTAATCTACGCAGAAAATTAATTTATTGTTCACAAATGATCTTGAATGGGGAGTTCCTAAAAATAAAAGGAGAAAGAAAAGCTCCTTAATTTTTTCATGAGTTCTTACATTAGTAAGCCTTTCTTTTTTGTACCACGATTTTTAATATATGTTAAAATTAGATGCATGGAAAATAGAGCCTTGGTAAAGCTGATTCAAAAACTGGACTGTGGTATTATTTTAAAACAAAATATTTGACTATGGATTTAGTAACTTTTTAACATCTTAATATGAAAATTGGGCTAATAGCACAGCGGGTAGGGTGTTTGCCTTGCATGCAGCCAACATGGCCGACCCGAGTTCGATTCCTCTGCCCCTCTCAGAGAGCCCGGCAAGCTACTGAGAGTATCTCGCCTGCATGGCAAAGCCTGGCAAGCTACCCGTGACGTATTAGATATGCCAAACACAGTAATAACAAAGTCTCACAATGAAGACGTTACTGAGCCCGCTCGAGAAAATCGATGAACAATGGGAGGACAGTGACATGTGACAATATGAAAATCATTTTTAAATGGCAAACCTATGAAATAAATATATCAAAAACAAAAGTTTCATCACTAAAATCTTGAATTATGTGATTTTTAAGTCTTTTACTCGCATGCAGCTCTTTTTGAATACTAAGAAACAAAAACATAGTAAAATTGAAAGGAAAAATATCCAAAGGAAAAAATCCAAAGGGAAACACAGTTTTGTGTCACAGCTTTGGTTGTGACTCAGAGTCATGAAAATCGAGTGTCAAGGGAATAAACTTTATCAGCATTCACCTTCTCTGTGTTGGAACGTCATTCCCAGGGATGTTGGCTTTATTCCCAAATCTCACCGCCCGTGATTTGCTGCATCTCACCACCTGTGATGTGTGCATCTCACCCACCTCCATTTCCTGCCTGCTTCTGTAGCTCAGGGCTAATGGCGGGGTGGAAAATGGGGGGGTGTTGCTTGGGGGAAGTTCTCTTTCGAGTTCACTGAGAGAGCAAGCAAGGGCTTCTGGTATTCTCTTACATTTGTTCCTGCCACCATGGGGTTGCCCAGGTCACACACCACCATCCTGCTCACATTGTCCATCCGGTACTCACAGCTCAGGGGTCGCAGTCCCTGCAATGGAAAAGCACACCGGTGTGGGGTTCAGGGGGCAGAATAAATGACCACCTGTCACAAAGGTGATGTGGTGGTGGTTTCGGGGGAGATCGGGGTAGAGGTCAAGGTGGGGTGGTGCTGCTCTTGATTTCAGACATATGTGTGGGGCTGTGCCCGAGCATTCGTTCGTGCCCATCCACGCAGAAGAGAAACTCTAGGAAAGAACTCCGAGTTTCCTTTGAACAAGAAAGGCACTGCCAGGGTAAATGACCTTCCAGAGGAAGAAAAGGATTACTGGGGTATTTCTGTGAACATCTCACCAAGAGCCTCTATGAGAAGCACAAACACTTAAATGTGACCAAGTGGACTTATTCTTGCGAAGATGGAAGGACCCTCATGCACGAACCCTTTGTCACTGTTCAGAAGTCAACTGTCTGGAACACACGTTGCACACAGGGTGGGTCTGCTTTGCCATCACACAGTCACTCTAGTGCTGGCCTTCAACTCGCTTAGGTGGGAAGAAAAGCCCTTTCTACTTAGCCAGTGCTTTTTATCACCTTCTTCCCCGTCCCCCCATCCCCGGGAGTGTGTACAAGCTCAGGTGGGGGAACAGAATCAGGCGCTGTAGAAGTTTCTAAGATGACACCAGTGGGCAGAGGAAGAAAAGTCCACTTCGAATCACTACTTTGCTCATGATCCACGCTGCATTCTCAATCTGCTCTATGGGTCCCCATTTTTCTTTACTCCATCCCCTTTCCATCCCTTAGACCTAAAGTTCATCCTCTGCCTGTGGGGAAAGCAACAGATGTCCACTCCTGACTGGACTGCATGCTAACTGAAGGGCTGCCGGTCTCTCCAGCCTGCTGTCCTCGTTCCCCGGGGGTGGGCCTCCCCAGGTCCATGTTCCCAATGCTCCCTGTGAAGACCATGAAAGCGGGGTCCCAGGACCAACTCAGTGATCATCTGTGAGCAAGAGATGATTGAAAAGGAAGGAAAGTTTCCCAAACTATGCTGCAGCCCTTTCTTTCCATTTTATGAACAGACCACCAAGCCAAGCAAAGCCATACAAACCCTAGGTATCTCGGGAAGCAAAATATCTGTCAGCAAATGAGATCAGTTTGAAGAATTTGGAGGGCTGTTTTGAGAACAGAGGCTTCAGGAGGGCAGGGAACTCGATACCAAGCAGCAATAGCCCCCAATTTCCCCTAAAGAGGGACCTACAAGGAAAGCACGACAGACTAGCACCCCACTCACTATGTTCCTCGCCCCCCGCCCGCCCAGAACAACCCAGGTCCCCGTTGGTGTCTGTTCTAGCGATGAGAAAGGAGTCACTGATATACTCATTCCAGGGACTATTCATTCTATTATTTGTTTTTTTTTTTGTTTTTTTGGCTTTTTGTGTCACATCCGGTGATGCTCAGTGCTTAATCCTAGCTCTGCACTCAGGAATTACTCCTGACATTGCTCAGGGGACCATATGGGATGCTGGGGATTGAACCTTGGTTTGTCACATGCAAGGCAAACACCCTTCCCACTGAACTATCGCTCCCTACATATTCATTCTAGGTGAAGCTAAACCTTGGCAGATAGCTGGTCAGCATCGCTCTTCTCTCATGCTCTGCTGGGCTAACCCTCAGGCACAGACGTGCTTGGAGCTAAAATGACCACATTAGCCCCAGAAGCAGGAAAAAGCACCCAGCAGGAGCTTTCCAAAATTGCCCCTCTGGCCCTTGACTATGATCCAAGGATTTGATTTCTATAGTAAATATTTTTATCTTATCTAGAGGTTAAGAGTTATAGGTACATTTCCCTTTGGTTTTCTAGAAATAGCTCCTTCACATCAATCAAAGAGCTTTCCTCCCCCATACCATCCACCGGATTTACTTTTTAACCTGTACTTCCTCTCAGAATAAGAGAAACAATGATTGTTTTTCGAGATATTTCTAGATTATTTTTCCCAGTTGTTCCCAGGGACTCTTGTTCGAACCCATTTTTAGCTCTCAGAGGATTAGTCATTCTTTGAAAAATATTTGCCATGTACCTACTTGTACCATGTCCTGATTAGAAAAAAAAAAGACCCCAATCCCCCATCCTTATGGAATTTCCAATTATTTTTACAATTATAATGAATAAGCACATGCACTCATATCAAGCAAGGGAAACCACAATTAGCATAATGTGTCTCATTTTATTTCAGAGATCTAGGAAGGTCATGCACATTATGTAAGCAATCAGAGAATGCTTCCTGAAAGAAGTGCCAGCTGTTGGGGGCCAGTGCAGGTCAGAATTCAGGACCAAGGGCCCACCTAAGAGTTCCTCTATAGAATAGCCTTGTAAATGTGGGCTTTTGCTGAATTTGCCCAACTATAGGACAAGGAAAGTAAGAACATTAATAATAATTGTTATCCTTATTGTTAAGTTTAGAAGGTCACCTCAGAGATGTCTAGGGATAGTCTCGATTAAGTTTTCCAAGGAAATCAAGAAGCAGCATTTATAATTTTCCAAAAGATGAATGTTTTCATCAAAAGAAAAGAAACCCACATGGCCAGATAACCCTCTAACACTTTTTCTCTTGAAAAAAAAATAATTCTTTAAGAAAGCAAAACATAAATGTGAACAGAGTTTTAAATTAAAAAAAGGTATACAAAATCCAAGTGTCATAAAAGCAAAGAGGGCATTAAAATGTGGCTTAGTCATGTGACATTCAAAGGCTGAACTTGGTCTCTTCCCCAGGGGAAACCTATGGCGGCAGAGTCTGGGGTCCTTTGAGGTCTGCATCATGTGTGTGGTGATGCTCATGGGCAAAGATAGAAATGATAAATGCTTGCCCATGTTCTCTACAGCAAATGGTCCACTGCATGCTTTGTTAAAAGGACTTGCTAAGATTATGAAAGAGCTGAAATAAAAATCAATTAAGCCCTGGCATATTTTAAAAAATATTACATATTTGAACTTCATTTTTATATATTATCTGTATGCAGGTATAGTCATTGGTGATTTTTTCCACCCTACACATTCCTTTAATAGAAACTAGTGATTTCATAACTGTTAAAGATACTCGATTATTTCTCATCTGGATTGGTTTATCTTACCCAGGAGGTAATTCAACCTGAACATCAGTCAGGAGTGACTAGAGAATTTTGTGTTCCCTATGTCTTTATTTATTTATTCATTTATTTGGCATCTTTGGATCATACCCAATCCCTATATTTTTAAATGCCTTGAATTACCAATATGACTATAGTTCATTGACTTGAGAGGAATTTTTGTAATAGTGACAATCTCCTGAACTTCTGAGAGCATGAACTATCTGAAAGGTGGCAGGCCTTAAATACCTTTCAGTTCACTAAACAAATCATCAACAAGCTGTTTGAACAAATCCCAACTGTGGCCTTGCCCCAAGTTGTGAGTTGGTCTGTTTCTGGAACAAGCCCTCTGTGAGATTTTACAAGGAACTTGGATTGGTTTTCTCAGCCAAGAGATAGAAACCACAGATGAATGGAGGGCCCAGTACATGGGAAAATGCACCTTCCAATAAGGAAGGGAAAGACACTGTTGTTACTTTGACCCACAATGGCACTGTAGGATGATGTTGAAGCCTGGCTCCCCCAGCTCCAATCCCAAAAGGCAGGCCAGGAAGAGAGTGAAACAAATGTATTTCCTTTCCTGTTGACTGTCTGTTGGATGTTATCAGAGCCCAGCGGGGATTGGTTTAGAACTTCTTCCCTGAGCAGTAATGAAAACCAGATCTCCAGGGACCCGCCTGGGACTTAAGGATCTCACAACAAAGACTTGGAAAGTGGGGTGGGGTGGGGGCTGGGGGTCACAGCTGAGAGATCCCTTGGGTAAAGGTCTTCTTTCAACTAGTTGTGTTTTCTCCTGTAACTCACATCTCTGGTATAGGCACTATATTTCATCACACAATTCGTGCAGGTTTTATACTCATCTCTCTCTCTCTCTCTCTCTCTCTCTCTCTCTCTCTCTCTCTCTCTCTCTCTCTTCTCTCTCTCTCTCTCTCTCCTCTCTATCTCCTCAAAAAAGTGGCGTGAGTTCATTATGTGAAAGTCTTTTGGACTGAAAACAAACCAACAGACAAATAGGATGCATTGATTATGGTAGAAACTGGTAGCTTAGCTTTATGGCGAGGACTGGTGTTAATTAATAGTGTCCATGCGGATCTTGTCATTGTGGTCCTGTCCTTAAGGGTGCGTCTGAACTCCCATCTCTGGGTTCACTGCTTTTATGATGAATGACAGCAACAATAATTCGTTCTGATTGAGAAATAAACTGTCAGCTAGGATGGCTCTGTTTAATACCAATTTGAACTAAAAATATATACCCACGTCAGCGGTCAGTGGGTAAGATGTGTGCCTTGCACGTGGCTGATCTGCGTTGGATCCCTCGTACCCTGTATGGCCCCTGAATCCTGCCAGGAGTAATCCCTGAGCCCAGAGTTGGGATTCCTTACTCAGCTCTTCCCTTCCTCCAGTGACTGGCCAGTGGTAGTTACCTTGTTGCCACGTTCAATGCCCACGTAGTCAGCTTCTTCTGGAATCATCACAAAGAGTTCCGCTTCATAGGCTCCTTCGCCTTCATTCCTTGCATTGATGGTGAGCATCAAGTGATTCTCATCTCCAATGATTAGCTGATGCTTATCTCTGAAAATTCAGTTTAGAAAGGACCATTAGTCATGGCTCCAGGCCATTTGACTTGAGGAAGTATCCGGGGAGTCTAAGAAGGAAGATGGGCACATTTAAGGCACATCCAAATAGAGGATGGATCAGTAGGAGAGAGCCTGTGGAAAGAATCAAGAGAACCAGATAGAAGATTCTAGCAAATATCTGGTGGTGCCCTGGTAAATGTTTTGCAATCTTCCCCCCCCCCCAAAAAAAAAGGTGATTTGTCAAGCGTGTTGAATGCCAAGGTGTCTGTCCTCCCAAATGGTCATAGTCTAGCCATCAATATACTTAACAATCTGTCTGCCTGGGGAAACTCCTGACAATGTAGAGGCAGAGAGCAGGAAGAGGGGCAGTGGGGGAGACAGAGTGATGTAGTTTAGATAGGCAATGTTGACAGCCCCTGAGAGGGAAGAGGCAGGCTCGTGGAAGGAGGCCTCCAAGTGCAGAGGAGAGTTTGGTTGTGGGGTGAGGGTGCCTCAAGTGGAACTCAGGGATCTGAGGCGACTTCAGAAATATCAGACACTCCAGCTGCTGTGTGGTCCAGTGCTCAGGCCCAGATGTGAGAGGCACTGCTGGGCCTGATGGTGCTGGGGGTGGGGTGGGGAGGGGTCTGGGAAGTGGTGGGCGGGGGCTAGGAATCAAATAGGGATCAAATAGATCAATAGGTGCTAGGGATCAAACTCAGGTCCTTGTATGCTGGAATAGGTACCCCTCAACTAGTTCCATAATCCCAACCTGTGGAATGAGGGTTTTGAGGCATTTGGAGGAAATTTAACTCACTCTGAACTTCACATCAAACCAAAACTTGGAAGTGCCTGTTTCAATGGGAATCTAATTTAATCCAAGTTTTGCCTTAGACATTGGCTACACCAGGCAGACTCAGGGGCAGGCAGTGTGTGTGTGTTTGTGTGTGTGTGTGTGTTTGTGTGTGTGTGTTTGTGTGGTGGTGGGGGGCTTCCCTTTGAGAATTGTACACTTAGGCAGGGAAAGAGACCAAGTTTGCCTTTTCCACATGGGCTGTTTTGCATCTCTGTCTCATTTCTTTTTTTGCATCTCTGTCTCATTTCTTTCCATCAGAGCTTCATGATGGGGTGGGAGTGTCCTTCTGGGCCAACCATTTGTTGTTTGTTGTCTTCTCTTTGTTTTGGGACACAGAAAAGTGACTTCCCCTTTCGTTCAGGGGTCAAACTGAACTCCCTTTAACCACTTGGGGAACACTTTTGAATCAGGGGATGCTGCCAGAACTTTTTGGCTAAAGGGCAGCAGAAGGAATTTGCTGGGGTCCTTTGCCCACAAGATGCTGGCAAGTAAATCCAAGGGGGCCACCCTGTTGATGAGTTTCCTTCTAACAAAAACATTTCCCCCCACTTTTGCTGAAAGACAAAATGGGTCTGGGGGTGTCGCTCAACACCACCAAGAGCAGAGTTAATCCAAACCATCAGTGGAACAGAGGTTCTTCGAGCTCCAGAATCTCACACGGGCTGTTGTTCTGTTATGCGGGGAAGTGTGAACTTTTCCACACTGAGAAGCTCTGGGTGCCACCCCGTGTCCCATATGACCACAGGCTCTCAGGGACTCACGGAAACTTACGGTCGCGCAGATAGCTTCAGGTCTGGGATGCACATGTTATCCTCCCCACAGTCGACCAGGATGTGAGCCTGGGATGTGCAAACAGACATCAGGAATTAGCTGGAGACACTCGGGACACTTGTCCTTGCATCTCAGCAATGATTTGACTCAGTTATGCAAGCATCTATGTCCCTCTGCATGGCTCTCCCTGGCTGGAAAGCCTAGGCCCAGCCGTGAACTCCCCACAGAGATGCGTAGGCCCCTCAGCTCCCGTCTTGGTTCACTCGTTCTAGTCTGCCAGAATAGCTGTTTTGGCAGCGTGGGGAGATTACTTGGGGAGATTACTTTCACGACAGTGGGGTTGTGCGAAGTCAAGGGACTCCTGAAACCTCAGGCGTGCCATGACTCTCTAGAGATGACAATATTCTCAGGATCCCAGATCACGTGCGGGAATAGAAAATTGGATTTGGGGTGCGGGTCACAGGAGGTGACGCCCAGGGCTGGTCACCAGGACTTACCTGCTCACTGACTGTGCTGTCCCGGTAGTAATTCAGGATCGGCGCCACTTCCAGGCCTTCATTAAAAGTTGAGGCGTCCAAACTGTAGTTCAAAGTAATGTTGATGGGAGATAATTTGTCTCGGAATTCAGCTTCGTCCTCGGGAAGAGAATCACAGGTTCATGACAGGCTCTGGGAAATAGTGGTCAAGGTGGGTCTGTGGTGGGCCAGCAATGCTGGCTTATAGCCAGGGACCATGAGTGCCAGTCAGTCTCTTGCCTGTGTCCAGATGGTGGATGTGGTGGAGAGTGACCCCCATCTCAGGGCAATCTGATTTTGGGCCTCAGGCCTCAGAGATAGTACAGGGTTAAGGCTATGCCTTGTGGGTGGCCCAGTCTGGTTTGGTCCCTGACACCGATTGGTCCCTGAACTTTGTTGGGTGCAACCCTGGAGGGCCCCTAGCATCTCCTGGGTGGTCTGTGGGGTTCTCAGCACCACAGGGCATGAGTAGCACCCCATCCTCAGACCCTGGCACTAAACCACCAGCCCAGTTGGCCAGTAATTGCCAAGGGGAATCCCTAGGTTTCCCCCCCACACACACACATGCACACAGATTCACACGCATGCACATGTGCACAAACACACGCACACACATGCACACACATGTGCATAATACATGTATTTGTTTATAAGCTTCTAGATGGACGCCTTCATATGGTGGCTTCATCCAGAGACCTGCTGCTTACAGGATATTCTTTGTCCCCAAATAGCTCACACCTCTGGGCCCGCTTACAAAATGAGGAGTGGAACTGGAGCTGTCCCATAAAGGCCATGGACAGTGGGTGTGAGGAGGATCTGGGAGACTCTGGGGCTCATGGGAAGAAAGCATCGTCATTCCTCCCAGCGCCTCCTAAGCTTCACCTCACGGGAAATCCACTCCACTCTATGCCACGGCATTGCCCCCAGACAAAGAGAGAGCTACCACAGGCTGGGGGTGGGGGGGGGGTGGTGGTCCCAGGAACCCCCTATGGCATGTAGTGGGGAGTTACCGGGGTCCTACCCCAGTTTTCCATACTTAGAACAGGGGTTTTTGACCTCTTAATCTTGTGGACCAGTAAAAATAGAAAATATGATTTCCCAGACCACTAAGGCTGAAGCAAAAATACATTATTAATAATAAGGTAGTTTATGCGGCTGGGAAAAGAGCGCAGGACCCAGGGTGCAGGCCCTGACATGTGTAAAGCTCCGAGTTTGATCCCTGGGACCACAACTCCTGGTGGTCCCAGCCTGACTTTCTCGAGCTTTTTAAAATTTTATTTATTTATTTATTTATTTTTAAAATTTTTATTAGTGAGACACCATGAGGTACAGTTGTAGAATTACAAATTTTTGTGCTTGGGTTTCAATTATACAATTATCAAATACCCATCCCTCCACCAGTGCCCATTTCCCACCACCACTGATCCCAGTATCCCTCCCATCCCCCAACCTCCCATCCCACCCTGCCTCTGTGGCAGGGCTTTCCCTTTTGTTCTCTCTCCCTCCTTTTGGGTGTTGTGGTTTGCAAAAGAGGCATTGAGTGGCAATCATGTTTAGTCTATAGTCTACTTTCAGCATGCCTCTCCCATCCTGGGAGGATCCTCTCAACATCCTTTATTTGGTGCTTCCTTCTCTATCTGAGCTCCCTTTTCCCCTAGCATGTGTGGTTGGCCTCCAAGTCATGGAGCAAACTTCCTGGTACTAATCCCGGCCACTCTTGGGTGTTAATCTCCTATTTTGTTACTTTATGTTCCTCAGATGAATGCAATCTTTCTATGTCTATCCCTCTCTTTCTGACTTATTTTGCTTAGCATGATACTTTCCATGTAGTACAACTTGTATGTAAATTTAATGACTTCATCTTTTCTAACAGCTACATAGTACTCCATTGTGTAGATGTACCAAAGTTTCTTTAACCAGTCATCTGTTCTCAGGCACTCAGGTTTTTTCCAGATTCTGGGTATTGTAAAGAGTGCTGCAATGAACAAACAAGTGCAGATGTCACTTCAACTATACATTTTTGCCTCTCTGGGATATATTCCCAGGAGTGGTATTGCTGGGTTAAATGGGAGCTCAATTTCTAATTTTTTTTTGATAATTTTTATTTTATTTTTTTTAAAGTTGTAGATTTACAATTTTTTGTGCTTTGGTTTCAATTATACAATGATCAGATACCCATCCCTCCACCAGTGCCCATTTTCCACCACCATGGATAATATCCCTCCCACCCCCATCCCCCCATCCCCCCTGCCTCTGTGGCAGGGCAATCCCCTGTGTTCTCTCTCTTCTTTTGGGTGTTGTGGTCTGCAAAAGAGGCATTGAGTGGCAAACATGTTCAGTCCATAGTCTACTTTCGACATGCATCTCCCCTCCTGGGAGGATCCTCCAAACATCCTTTATTTGGTGCTCCCTTCTCTATCTGAACAGCCCTTTCCTCTAGGATACCCGGCTGGCCTCTAAGTTATGGAGTAATCGTCCTGGTGCTGATCTCAGCTATTCTTGGGTATTAATCTCATACTTTGTTACTTTATATCCCCCAGATGAATGCAATCTTTCTATGTCTATCCCTCTCTTTCTGACTCATTTCGCTTAGCATGATACTTTCCATATTGTACCACTTGTATGTAAATTTCATGACTTCATCTTTTCTAACAGCTACATAGTACTCCATTGTGTAGATGTACCAAAGTTTCTTTAACCAGTCATCTGTTCTCAGGCACTCAGGTTTTTTCCAGATTCTGGGTATTGTAAAGAGTGCTGCAATGAACAAACAAGTGCAGATGTCACTTCAACTATACATTTTTGCCTCTCTGGGATATATTCCCAGGAGTGGTATTGCTGGGTTAAATGGGAGCTCAATTTCTAATTTTTTGAGAATCGTCCATACTGTTTTCCAAAAGGGCTGAACCAGTCGGCATTCCCACCAGCAGTGAAGGAGGGTCCCTTTCTCACCACATCCGCGCCAGCACCGGTTGCTTTTGTTCTTGTGCATGTGAGCCAGTCTCTGTGGTGTGAAATGATATCTCATTGTGGTTTTGATCTGCATCTCCCTGATGATTAATGATGTGGAGCATTTTCTCATGTACCTTTTAGCCATTCGGATTTCTTCTTTGAGAAAGTCTCTGTTCATTTCATTGCCCCACTTTTTGATGGGGTTGGATGTTTTCTTCTTGTGGAATTCAACCAGTACTTTGTATATCCTTGATATCAACCCCTTGTCGGATGTGTATTTGGCGAATATCCTTTCCCATTCTGTAGACCGTCTTTGTATTTTGGTCACTGTTTCTTTTGAGGTGCAGAAGCTTCTTAGTTTAAGATAGTTCCATTTGTCTATCTCTGTTTTCACTTGCTTGGCCAGTGGCGTGACATCTTTGAAGATACCATTAGCATCAATGTCATGGAGGGTTTTGCCAACTTTTTCTTCAATGTACCTTATGGATTCCAGTCTGATGTTGAGGTCTTTAATCCTCTTTGATCTTTCTTTTGTACATGGACTTAGGCAGAGATCTGAGCCCACTTTTTTGCATGTAGCCATCCAGTTTTGCCAGCACAATTTGTTAAAGAGGCTTTCCCTGCTCCACTTCACTTTTCTTGCCCCCTTATCAAAGATTAGATGACATTATGCTTGGGGGGAGATGTCAGTAAATTCAACCCTGTTCCATTGGTCTACAGCTCTGCCTTTGTTCCAGTATCATGCTGTTTTAATTATTACTGCTTTGTACTAGAGTTTGAAGTTAGGGAGGTTGATTCCTCCCATTTTCTTTTTCCCAAGAATTGCTTTAGGTATTCGTGGGAATTTATTGTTCCATATAAATTTCAGGAGTGTTTGCTCCATTTCTTTGAAGAATGTCATGGGTATCGTAATAGGGATCACATTGAATTTGTACGGTGCTTTGGGAAGTATTGCCATTTTGACAATGTTAATTCTCCCGATCCATGAACAGGGGATATTTTTCCATTTCCTCGTGTCCTCTTTTATTTCCTGAAGTAGGCGTTTTGTAGTTTTCTTTGTACAGATCCTTTACTTCCTTAGTTAAGCTGATTCCTAGGTACTTAATTTTCTGGGGGCACAATTGTGAACGGGATTGTTTTCTTCATGTCACTTTCTTCTCTTTCACTATTTGCATATAGGAAAGCCATGGACTTTTGGGTATTGATTTTATAGCCTGAAACTTTACTATACAAGCCTATTGTTTCTAGGCGTTTCTTGGTAGAGGTTTTAGGGTTGTCTAAGTATAGTATCATATCATCTGCGAATAGTGAGAGCTTGATTTCTTCCTTTCCTACCTGGATGCCCTTAATATCTTTTTCTTGCCTAATCACTATTGAAAGTACTTCCAGTACTATATTGAACAGCAGTGGAGAGAGTGGACATCCTTGTCTCGTCCCCGATCTTAGGGGGAAGGCTCTCAGTTTTTCCCCATTGAGGATGATGCTTTGCCATAGGCTTGTGGTAGATGGCTTTAATATTGAGGAAAGTCCCCTCTATCCCCATCTTGAGCTTTGAACCATCAGGCTTGGTATCACCAGGAGTGGCCCCTGGACCCCCAGCATTGCTTGAAAGTTCCCGGACAAAAGAATAATTCTCTCTGCATATTTATAAGAGCACCCACATGATCAGGGTGGACAGACCACGTGTTAAGTGGTAATAACAATTTCAAGGACTGGCAGAAAATCTCTGCAGACTGGCTATTGAAAACCACTGTCCTAGAATGTGCTGTGACCTTTGGGCTCTGCCCCCAGAGTCCCCTCTCTAACCAGGTCCCTGCTGGGGGAGAGGAAATGAGAAAGAGTAATGACACCCGTTTGACTTGTCAGGAGCCAGGGTTCCTGGGTTATAAAGATTTTTATTGCATGGTGGGCTTCAGAGTTATTAAAAAAGCACTCTGGTTTTAAAACATAATTATGAATTACTTTTAATAAAAGCTTCGAAGGCCCGGACATTTTCCTGAGTTGGCGCTGACATACACATTGATAAAAATCTAGCCAAGCGCGCGTACATAGGATAAAAATGCAAATACATTTCATTTAACTTTATATATTTTTTTGTTGGGGGGCAGGGAGGAAGTTATAAATGAAAACCACCTGAGTGAGAACTATTATCAAGATTGCGTTGGGAACAAAAAGAAGTCTTTGGAATGAAGAAATCCCGTATGAGGTTAAGGGATGCACAGCCCGGAGGGAGATGGCAGGTTTAGGCGCACCTTCCCTCCCCTGCCCTGGGGTGGGGGGGGGGGGGCGAGGGCTGCCTGCTTGGGGCCACAATACCGGATGGGAGAGCACCTGGCAGTGATCCTGGGACACTTACTCGAAGGTAGACGACAAAGGCCCGGCACTGGAGGGATTTCCGCTGCTGGACTCTGAGTGGGAAGACCAGCTGGGACTGGTGGTTGTCCAGGAAGAGTGTCCTTTTAATCGCCCCCTTCTGCTTCAGGGAATCTAACTGCACCTCAGCCATCAGGCCTGGGGGACAAAGCACAGCAGCTGCCATCAGAAGGGGAGAGAAACTCAGCATGGACATCAATTTCTGGGCGAATGTGCGGACCCAGGAAGCATTTTGTTTTCAATTTTTCATAGTTTGGATTCAAAGCAATCAATACATATGATGGGAAAAATTATACTCAAAGCAGTCAATACATAGGCTGGGAAAAATTATATTCAAAGCAATCAATACATAGGCTGGGAAAAATTTATAAAGTATTTATAAATTTTTAAAAATTTTTAATTAGCACAGTGGGTAGGGCATTTGCCTTGCATGCGGCCAACCGGGCCGACCCGGGTTAGATTCCTCCACCTTCTTGGAGAGCCCTGCAAGCTACCGAGAGTATCTTGCCCACATGGCAAAGCCTGGCAAGCTACCCATGACATATTCAATATGCCAAACACAGTAACAACAAGTCTCACAATGCAGATGTTACGGGGCCCACTGGAGAAAATCAATGAACAATGGGAGGATAGTGACAGTGATATAAATTTATAAATCAATGTATAAATTTATATGCTTTATAAATTTTTAAAATGTTGTTGCTTGATGGTTTTACACCAGTCACCGTTTCCCTCAGGAATGAGATCTGTGTGGACCAGTGATGTGAAGACAGTCCTGTCCATCTTGACTGAAGTTTCCATATGTAGGACAGAAATCTGGAGAGCCGGACAGGGCTCTTCCATGTTTTCTGCAGTCTGTGCAGAGAAATGCTTCCTGCTGAGTTCCTTAGCAGAGTAGAGAATAAAAAAATGGAAACAAGCTCACCGATGGTGTTGGAGATGCTCTGGCCAGTGACGGAAGCACACACTCTTAAAGAAAAGCTGTAACAAAGAATAATCCACGATGGGTTGGTTAACGACCTCATGATTCTGAAGTAGAAGCTTGACCTCCCTCAGATACAACCCAGGTGTCACTCCGCCCGCCTACACTTCTCCTGGTATTACCCACATACATACCGAGATAACTAAACACATATTTATCGAACTCATCATATTTGTTGAACTCACTAATCTAATCAATATTCCCTATTCCAAAGGTAATATTTCAAAAATATTACAAAAACATTTCTAAAATATTACCAAAATATTTCTAAGATATTACAAAAAGATTAAAAACATAAACAGTAAAAATATTACCAAATATTTCTAAAATATTGCAAAAGGATTAAAAATATGTATCAAATAGTAAAAATATTACCAAAATATTTCTAAAAATATTTTCCAACTATTTTGAAGGTAATATTTCAAAACTATTGCCAAAGATATTCAGATTTAATTAGTGGCTGGCTTGGTCAATTTGCTGCTGCCCTTGCTTACTGAATGCAGGTGGGTCTCTTTGTTGGGCTAGGGGACTAAGCCTGGATGGTGGGGCAGCCTGCTGGTACCACCCAGAGGTCAAGACCAGGCTCTCCCTTTGAGGAGCCAGGAGACACATGGCAGGGCCAAGTGTCCGGGGCTAGGTTGGCCGGGCAGGTCAGGATGCAAAGTCAGCTTCAAAACTGGGACTGGATAGCTAGAATCTGGAAAAAACCTGAGTGCCTGAGAACAGATGACTGGTTAAAGAAACTTTGTTACATCTACATAATAGAGTACTATGTAGTTGTTAGAAAAGATGAAGTCATGAAATTTACATACAAGTGGTACTACATGGAAAGTATCATGCTAAGCGAAATGAGTCAGAAAGAGAGGGACAGACATAGAAAGACTGCATTCATCTGGGAAACATAAAGTAACAAAATAGGAGACCAACACCCAAGAATAGCTGAGGTCAGTACCAGGAGGTTTACTCCATGGCTTGGAGGCCAGCCACACACGCTAGGGGAAAAGGGAGCTCAGATAGAGAAGGGAGCACCAAATAAAGGGTGTTGGGAGGATCCTCCCAGGATGGGAGATGCGTGCTGAGAGTAGACATAGACGAAACATGATTGCCACTCAACGCCTCTTTTGCAAACCACAGCACCCAAAAGGATAGAGAGAACACAAGGGAATGCCCTACCACAGAGGCAGGGTGAGATGGCGGGGGAAGGGGGGTGGGAGGGATACTGGGATCAGTGGTGGTGTAGAATGGGCACTGGTGGAGGGATGGGTATTTGATCATTGTATAACTGAAACCCAAGCACGAAAATTTATAAGTCTACAACTATACCTCATGGTGTTTCACTAATAAAAATTTAAAAAAAAACTGGGGCTGGGGTACAAGGGGCCAGGCATTCCCTTGCAGTTGAGTCCCTGGCTTCCTCCCTTCGTGTGTGGATGTGGACACACCATAAGGACAATAGAATTTTCTTGAATTTAATCCTTTGGGGTGTAGTGTAGGATGATGTGGTTAGCTGGCAGGCCCATGGGGCGGGGAGGGGGGTGGTTTGCATGGTGAACTGCCAGGGTCAGGGGCAGTTGGAGGCCATGATCAGTGGGAGTTGGAAGAGGAGGAGGAGGAAGAGGAGGAGGAGGAAGAGGTGAAGGAGGAGGAGGAAGAGGAGGAGGAGGTGGTGAGTACATGATGGGGAGTGACTGTGTCAAGCTCAGAGCACATGGACATGCCCGAGAAAGGCCAGCACTGGAGGGCAGATGTGCACGAGAGACACCTCAGGGTTTATTTTTGTGTATTAAGTTTTCCTTCTGTTTGGTGATTTATTATCACTTTATAATATTTCAGGGGTATGGCTGAACCTCTGTGGCAAGTACACGTGGTAGCTTTGAAGAGACCTTTCTCCTGGTCTCCAGAGTTATCTGTGGAGACATGAGAGAGGACCAAAGCTTGAGCCAGAGCGTCAGCCCTGCTCACCTTCCTCCCGGAAAAGTGTTCCCCTGCGACCTTCTGCCTTGGAGCGGGGGCTTCTTTCCCTGGGAAGTAAGAAAGAACCTGGCATACTTAGGGATGATTAAGTGATAGTCTTAGCAAAATTTATGGGGCAAATGACTATGAGATGACTTGAATATTTCTATAAGATCACAAAGAAGTAAATGCTCCCTAATCACACTTCAATGACACGTCAGTTTCCTGTGTCAAATGGCAGGAAAATGTCTCCCATCTGGGACTCATCTGTCTGCCCTGACCTCAGTCAGAGTCTTCCTTCAGGGTTAAATAGTTGCCACACGTCAGTGAGGCAGCGGTTTCCGGAGCTGTCTTTGCTATTATGGGCATCGATACCATCTCTCCTGAGGAATCCCCAATCCAGCCCCCTTCTCCTTCCATGAGACTTATTTCAAGAAAGAGGAATCATTTATCGCAGCTTCACATTTGGTGGTCCATCCCTGGCTTTTCAAAAATTGAAAAAAAATTTTTTTGGAGGAGCCCACTTTATTTGGAAGTACTTGATTCTGTATTAAAGTCATAGACATAGCATCATTATATTTTTAGGAGACAAATTCCCATTTGTCATGATAATATAAACATGCAAGTTGAAATAATTTCAAGTAAAGTATCTTGTTATATAAATAATTCTAAAGCAATACAGTTGCTGAAGAAGAAATAGATTAAAGCTATGAATGTGACCAGGATTTCCTCCTTGTGAAGAAGTGTTTGAAAAACATCATTCACTGAAGGGTTATTCAGTATTCAAATTTTCTATCAGGATTATACATCATATTCTTAGTTTCATTCTCTGTTACCTCCTCCTTTCCCCTTCCTTCCCTTTCCCTACTTCCCTTCTCTGTGTTATTTTTCACAGAGTCTCAGAGTTATTTTTTTGTTATACTTGTTTGCTTGCTTTGGTAATTTATATCCTACCTATGAGAAAAACAAGCTGGAACTTGTCTTACATTTTTGGACTTATTTCCTTAGTGTAATCATCTCAAATTCCATCTATCTTGTCCCAAAAGTCAAGCTTCATAGTTTGAAGTGGTTGAGTAATATTCCATTGCGTTTACATTCCACATCCGGTGGTTATCTTATCTCTCTTTTTTCACTTAACAGAATCACCTCCACATCCATCTATTTCCCCCAAAGATAAGATTTTATCTTTTGTAAATGTCAGAGGAGTATTCCATGGAGGATATAGGCTAGTGTCTGGACCCACTTATCCATTGATGGGCAGACACGCTGTTTTTCATGTGCTATTGTGAATAGCGCTGCTATGAATATAAAGGTTCAGACATCTTTTCAAATTCGTGTTTTAATAGTTTCAAGTCAATACTTGTGAGTCACATTGATGAATATTGTATTCCTATTTTCAGCTGAAGATCTTTTCCTACTGTCCTCTACAGAGGCAGTACCAATTTACTTCCCTAGTGACAGACAGCATAGGAGGGTTCTGTTTCTCTGCAACTTTACCACCAGGGTTTTTGCTAGAGGTTATTCTCACAGTTTCACCAGTTAAATGAAATTGTTTTTGGTTAGGGTTTGATGTGCAATGAGGCAGGACAGTACAATTGAGATTCTCTAACTTGTCCTAACCCAACGCATAATGTTAGAATAAGGCTTTGGTGATGTTACGGTGTTCATAAGCATGTAGGTTGGAGAAAGAGCAGGGAAAATGGAAAACAGGATGTAGAAGTACAATGCTATTCATTTTTCTTTCTAACCAATTTGATCCTTCTCAGTAATGGTAAATACCTGATTTTCCATAAATTAGGCATACCTATAGTCCTTTCCAGATTGGAAAAGTGGATACAGTTATAAAATAAAAATGTTTTACTAAATAGTTTTATTTTTCCAGCTGGTTAATACCAATTATATTAATATTTCTGAGCTGGCTTTCATTTTGTTCCTAATTTAGAAAAGCCAGTAGCAGATACTTTATAAAAACGACACAGCTGTTTGTAAGACACAGAAATGCACATTGATGGAAGGGAAGAACCATTTCCAAGTTAGAGTTTACTTAACACTTTTCAGATGGACAATACAAGCTTATATCAAATACAGACAAAAAATTACAGCATAGAAAATCAACAAATGTCTTCCAATCATTTGGGGGAAACCCGACCTAAATTCCTAGAATAAATTTTAAAAGTACCAGAAAGACACATTCTCGATTAAAACAGCTGTTAATTTTCTATCTTTTAATACTCTGAGCCACCATTCAAAATATTTGCACATGAAATTGAAATGTCATCTGGAAAAGCCTGTGGCAAAACTGAATAGATAATCCTAAAGGCATAGATCATCTGTTTTCCCACGAGACAAGGCACCCTCTATATTACTAATATGATTTAATACAACAAGAAAGTGAAGCAAGAAGACATATTTTGGATGAAAATGTAATATTCTTTCTATACAGCTAAATCAGAAGTTCATTAAAACCACTTTAGTTTTATCAAAAATTTTGAAAGTCTGAAAAATCCTTAAAATCAAACAGTGCCGTTGAATCAGCAATTTTTTCTAGCAGAGTGTCACATCCATAACCGAATTCTGCCTGGACATCCTTTCAGGGGCGAATGTGTGAATGTAGGTTTGTTTGGGCCAACAGTGCCGTTTAACACTCATGCCCAGGGAGCTCTCACGGTTCATTTCATGTTTATTTAATCATGCCAGGGGAAAGGAGAAATCCTGGCGCTCTCTCTAGCTTTCTCAGATCAGGTTTTCATTATAATATTTTATGGTTTGAAACCATTTTAAAATGTGCTTGGGGCATTTCCCAGCTCCTTTCAAACCTGATCAAGGAAGTGTCCCCAGCTTGGGAGCTCCCAGCAAAGAATGTTTTACAGAGGATTCCTCGGGGTCCTCTTTACTGCCCCCCCTCCCCTCCACTTAGGAGGCTGTGGTTCTGGGGAACAAAGTCCTACCTAAGGGCCATCAACAACACATTGCAGTTGGCTGCAATTGACATCCCAGCAGAGTTGGGAACGAGGATCCTGTGTTCAACCACAGCTTCTGGGAATCAAGGGCAGGTCTCAACTTGCCACGGAGTCACAGGGGTTTCACAAGGCAATACCCTGTGGGACAGACTCTGGACCCACAGATTGAGAAATTCAGAGTCGACTCCCTGGGCTGGCTGGCAGGGGTGAGTGTCAAGGCTCAGAAGAAGCACCTGCAGAGGGTACCCAGGCTGAGATTACCAGCAGGTCTGGCCAAAAGGCTCTGATTCTCCTCCCCCTCTCCTGAGGATGGGACCCAAGGTCACAAAGACAGATTCCAAGGCACAGAAACCTCTGTGTGCCCACGTGTCCCTTGATCCAGCTGTCCGGGCTAACTTACAAAAATGATACCAGTTACGGAAAACAGCATTGCCACCTGAAGGGTCCTTTCTGAAATAGCCTAATGCAAATGGATTTCTCAATGGTTTTCTTTCAGAGTTTCAGATTGGTTCATGAATATATTGGTTTGCGCAGCAGCTGAAAGGTCTCTGAGGTTAGTGTTGTTGGGAATTTCCTCCAGTTTGTGGGTTGGCGGGGGCTCCCCAGCAGTGCTCAGGGGGCTCAAGGGGCCCAGGGCCCAGAGAGATAGTACAGTGGGTAAGGAACTTGACTTGCACACAGATGGCCCAGGTTGTATCCCCTGGCATCCCATAGGTCTCTCAAAATCAACCAGGAATAATTTATGTGTGCAGAACCAAAAGTAATCACTGAGCATCGCCGGGTGTGGCCCCCTAACAAAACCAGAAGAAAAAAAACCCGGAACTGTACCTATGCAGCACGGATGCTCTCTTGGAGCTCCTTTGGAGACACAGAGGCTCAGGGTCCCAGAGAGCAGTCTCAGAAACTGGTTGCTGGGGAGCCCTCTTGGGATGAGGAATGCACTCACCAAGCCACGGGGGCCGGATACTCGGTTATCTGGCAGGTTTTGTTGTCCAGATTGATAATCATTGGGTGCAGCAGAAGCTGGGCATCCACGGTCACCACCGGCCTCGCCCTGTGGGGGGAACAACTGGGGTTCAGCGTGTCACCGAGCCCACTCCCCACTTCCCCCTCAGATGCTGTGCCAACACTTGCAGCCTCAGTGCCAAGGATCTGCCTCATGGGAGGGGACAGGTGACATCAGCGACAACCCACTGCCACCAAACACATTGGTCTCTCATGACTATAGATGAGGGAGGCCAGAGTGCCCATGGTACCAAATTGTGGTGGACATGGATTTGGGGGATACTGTGCTGTAATGCTGCCTTGGCATCTGCCCTTCTTCCTTCCTTCATACTGGAGGGGAAGCATCTTCCTGAGGTTATGAACAGTCTTGCCATCTTTTTCTTTTGGGTCACAGCTGGAGATGCTCAGGGGTTACTCCTGGATCTGCACTCAGGAATTACCCCCGATGGTGCTTGAGGGACCCTATGGGATGCTGGGGATCAAACCCAGGTTGGCAAGCGCCCTCCGCACTGAACTATCTCTCAGGATCCCCAGTCTTGCCGTCTTGATGGTGGGTTTTTAGCTTGGCAAGTGTTGTAGAAGTCAAACTTCACAGATTAACTTCCCCACTAACACCAGTGGGAACATCAGTAGCTTCACCCTGTACCTTGGACATCACAATGGTTCTCAGTGCCTTCGGAGCAGAACAAACTCCATGGAGACAGCAGCAGTCAGCACTATAGTACAGCGGGGAGGGTGCTTGCTGGGATCAATTCCTGGCACCCCATACGGTCCCTTCAGGAGTAATCCCTGAGCCAGAGCCACGAATATGCCCTGGGCACTGACACGTGTGACCGACAAACAAACAAAAACACCAGGACACACCCATAGATCAATGGGAACTGAAGACTCTGGGAAGAGCTCTGTTGCCTTTGGAACGTTCCACAGGGCAGCCGTGATGGAGGAGAGGGACTAAGGGGATAACCAGACAAGAAAAGAAGGAGCAGGGCATGAGAACAGGGGAGGTTGAAAGCTTGTTTCCAGGAGGTGAGAGCAGGCAATGGCATGGCCTGGCCAGGAGGGAGCCCTCTACGGGGACTGCATGCTGTCTTGGGCACCACTTTACACAGTTTTACTATGGCCACATGGGTCCCTGGAGCATTTTCCTAAGCTCCTTTCCTTTCTCCATGTTCCGTAATTTTGTCTTCCATATTATGTCAGCCCCAGTCCTGGGTAATTGGGAGACAAGACAGGATTAGCCACAGCAGACACTGGTGGGGAGGACTGGGAGGAAGCCAGTCTCCATCTGGGAAGGTGGGTCTGATCCTGGTGCAGGGGTGAGTGGAGAAAAGAGGAAGGGGGACCAAAGTTTGGGCCAGGGCACTGGGGAGACTTGAGCCAAGGCTGCCCCTGAGAGGAGCAGCAGGCCTCACAGTCAGAATCTATATTGGCACCCCCGGTATGCCCAGTGATTGCCTAGACCATGGCATCCCTGTGGTAAAATATTCAGAGCAGAGTAGCTGTGGCAAGAGTGTCACTGCATCAGTCCTGAGGGCTCCATCTTCCTGGCCACCACAGACAGCCCTGTCCTGTGGACCCTTGGAGAGTTTTCACCATCTCTACCTCTACGGCCAGAAGGGGAGTGTGGCTGGTATCCATCAACCCTCTGCGGACATCATGGGATGGAAGAAGTAAATCTTTGTGTTGTTTTGTTTGGTGGCCACATGCAGTGGTGCTCAGGGCTTATTTCTGGCTTTGAAATCGGGCATGGGGTGGGTGGAGAATCATGGGATGCCAGGGATCATATCCAATTCAGACACATGCAAGGTAAATGCTCTACCCACTGTACTTTCTCTCCCTGAAGAAGTAACTCTTACCCAGGTGGGGAAACCTAATGAGAATCTCTGGGGCTTGGGGTAGGCTAGCACCTCCTTCCCTGCACAACCCCCAACCCATCCTGCCTCAGATTTCTGTTTTTTTTTGTTATGAAAATCTAAGCTAGATCCTTGTAGTCTGAAGAAATGTAGTCTGGAGAAATGAAAAAGAGGGAAAAGAGTCTAAACTTCCTGAGTAGCAGTGATAGCTTACATGTAATTGACATTGAGACTCTCCTTTTAACAACAACAACAAAACCCCCATGTAAATGCTGTTAGCTCCATTTTATAGATGAACAATCTGAACCTCAAAGTTATAGGAATTAGCCCAAGATGATAAATGAATGTGTGTGGAGGGACCAGGTTTTCAATCAAGATCTGTCACATCTGAAGTGTTTCTCGTCACTTTGCTTTGGGGGAGTGAGAGTAACCAATTCCTAGGCTGTTCTGTTCCTTAATTTAGTATCCACATTGGTTACAGAGACTTTGTAGTCCCCACTTGATACCTTTCTCTGTAAGTATTTGCCATGTAGGTCCAAAGTAAAGAGAATTCAAATATCATAACATCTGAGAAGTGTATTGTTTTAGAAATCCTGTTAAGATTTCCCCTTATTCTTCCTTTTTCCCCGCTTAAATATTGTTAGTAGGGACTGGAAGTTTGTTGTTTGTAAAATGAAAAAGGGTATTTTGCTAATTGCGACAATGTGGCTGAGCCTTGAGAACATTATGGTGAATGAGCTAAATGAAAGATAAATAACATATGATCTTGCTTGTAGGTGGATCTACAAAACAAAACAAAACAAATGAGAACACAAAATCACCCCAAACTCATAGATATAGAGAATAGACTGGTGGTTCCCAGAAGAAGGAGGGATGAGGGTGGGATATGGAAGGGGTGAAGAGATTCCAAAAGGTCTCAATCTCCTGTTTTAGGATTACAAGGTCAAGGCCAGGGAGCTAGGACAGGGGTGAAGGCACTTGCCTGTATGTGACTGACCCTCGGTTGAGTACCATTGTTGGCTGTGGCCCAAATTCCCAACAACCCCCCAAATAAAATGACTAAGTCCTGGTGTTGTTACCACACAATATGGCAACTTAACCCTATACTGTGTATCTGAAAGTTGCTAAGAGAACAGTTAAACATTTATAAAATTCTTTATATCTCTATGCATTGATGGACACTAAAACTATTATGGTGGTCTTTTAATAATAGACACAATATTGAATCATTATGGTTTGCCCCTGAAACTAATATTATATCAATTATATGTTCATCTAAAAAAGCATCAACATTGGCATAACCAACCCATGACCTACCTGTAAACGGCTACTTTTCCTGTTCCAAACGCACCCACAATTAAATCTAAGAAAACAAAAACACACATGTAAAAACAAAATAGACACATGACACATATGAAAAGAACAGTTAAAACTCATAAGCCCAACCAGCATTTTCAGTGAGAGAATCATAAAAGTCAGAATACAAATCACACCTTCCTTAGAAGACATTTTGGAAAGGATATGGAACTCTCTTTAATTCAAAATGATTCAACACCCAGTAGATTTGAAACTCCTCTGGTTTTATGAAAACCAACTTTCTATGAATGTTTCACTCGATCACTTGATCACTTGACATCCCGTTACTCATTGATTTGCTCGAGTGGGTGCCAGTAACATCTTCATCCCTGTCACGTGCTAGTGCAGCCCAGAGGCGTCTGCTCATTCCAGGAACACGAAGAGCCTCAAACTAAATCATTCAGGGTCTTGACGAAGAAGTCTGACCATCTCAGAATGGGTGGTGGCCACGCGATCTTTTGACGTCCTGTGGAATCCCGTTGGCTCTAGTCCAGCAGTAGTCTCCAAATCGCATTATGTGTCCAGTCCATCTGATTTTTGACACCTTGGAAAAAGAGACAGCATCCCTAATTCTCGATTGTCAATGGAGCTTGGAACTCTGGATTCTTTCTCTCACTTGAGTGAAGCATTATACTCCAAGCATAGCTCTTTCAATTCTTCTTTGGGAGACCTGAATAGCATTCTCATCCTGTTTTCATAGGGCCCAGGTCTCTAAGGCATATGTTAATGCAGGAAGAACAGTGGAACCTAAGAGATGTGCCCGGAGCAGGAGTTTCTTCCTCCTCTTAGCTATTTCTTCAATGCTCCTGAAGGCGTTCCAAGCCTCTCTTTTCCTCCTGTGCAACTCAGGTGCCAGGTCATTCGTCATGTTGACTTTTCGACCTAGGCACACATAACTGTTGCATTCGGAGATGTTAGTTCCATTGAGAATGAATGGAACATCAGGAACGAGAATGTTTCTCATAAACATTGTCTGCGTGAGATTCAGCTGTAGTCCGACCTTTCCACACTCACGGTCGAAGTCGGCCAGCATTTGTGCCACTTGGCTAATGTTTGATATTATTAGAATGATGTCATCAGTGAAGCAGAGGTGGTGTAGTTGCCGACTGTCTATCTTCACTTCCATTCTTTCCCACTCCAGTTGTTGCATGATGTTCTCGAGGGTGGTGCTGAAGAATTTCGGTGAAGGGTATCACCCTGCCGAATCCCTCTCTTTACATTGATGATCACTTCCTTGTAGAATGGTGAAATCCTGGTAGTGAATCTGTAATACAGCTCACAGAGGATCCTGATGTATTGAGTTTGAATGCCCTGTTTGGCTAGGGCTTTGATGACCACTTCAGTCTCAACAGAATCAAAGGCCTTCTTCAAATCAATGAACATTAGCCAGAGCGGCATCTAAACTTCCAAGAAACCTCAATGTAAATTTCATGACTTCATCTTTTCTGAGAGCTCCGTAGTACTCCATTGTGTAGATGTACCAAAGTTTCCTTAACCAGTCATCTGTTCTCAGGCACTCAGGTTTTTTCCAGATTCTGGCACTCATCTGGGAAACATAAAGTAACAAAATAGGAGACTAACACCCAAGAATAGCCGAGATAAGTACCAGGAGGTTTACTCCATGGCTTGGAGGCCAGCCACACATGCCAGGGGAAAAGGCAGCTCAGATAGAGAAGGAAGCACCAAATAAAGGGTGTTGAAAGGATCCTCCCAGGATGGGAGGTGCGTGGTGAGAGTAGACTATAGACTGAACATGATTGCCACTCAATGCCTCTTTTACAAACCACAGCACCCCAAAGGAGAGAGAACAAAAGGGAATCCTCTGCCACAGAGGCAGGGTGGGATGGGGGCATGAAGGGTGGGAGGGATACTGGGATCTGTGGTGGTGGAAAATGGGCACTGGTGGAGGGATGGGTACTTGAACATTGTATAATTGAAACCCAAGCACAAAAATTTGTAAGTCTACAACTGTTCCTCATGGTGTTTCACTAATAAAAATTAAAGAAAAAAAGAAACCTCAATGAGCTTGGTTATCGTGTGGATACGGTCGATTGTGCTGAATCCTTTTCGGAACCCAGTTTGCTTGCATGGTTTTCCTTCATCTAGTGTTTTGTCTATCCCATTCAGGATGACTCGAGTGAACAGCTTGTAGATGACAGACAACAGGCAGATGGGGCGATAGTTGCCAATGTCGTGGATGTCTCCCTTCTTGTACAGTAGTACAGTCCTGCTGGTTTTCCATTGGGACGGAACCTTGCATTCAGGCAGGTAGTGTGTGAAGAGCCGAGTCAGTGTATTGATGAGTACTGACGGCAGGTTCTTCAGGTGTTTCGGGTCTGACCTTGTCTTGGTCGGGTGCTGTTCGCTTCTTTACTGACAAAATGGCGTGTCGGATTTTGGAAGGGAGAACGTTGGGAATGACATATCCATCCTGCAGAATTTGGTATGTGGGCAGGTGGACATGGCTATTGAAGAGATCCAACTAGAAGTCATAGATAATCTTTTCCATTGTCCTTCTGAAAGATGTGATAGATCCATCAGGATCTATCACATCTATGAATGTTTAGGAAAATTATAATACTGTCTCTCTGGCTTTCCAGCGTCAAGGCACTCATCTTAAAGAAATGCAAACAGGAAAGTCATGAGCTGCTGTCAGCTTCTGATACACATTCTTATCCCCCGTTTTTCCCAGCATCAACCTGGAGAGACATCCTGGATGACATTTTGGTGCCATCATTTGTGCTTCACTAGTAGGTGAGGAGTGAGTGTGTGCTTTTGTTATCCTAAATAACAATAACCAAGATGAATACCATCATGACATGCCTACTCCGGGTTAGGGGTTCTTCTAAATGATTGACCTTCACTTGAGGAAAGTCCCTAGGATTAGCTTCACTTTGTAGGTGAGGAAGGCGTTGACCGCGGGAAGAGGCTGGGTCCCCAATGGGTTGGCAAAAGAATGGTTGCAGGGGATTGGTGGACTGTTGCTCACTATGAACTTGAAGAGATATGAATGAACTCTGCTCTTCCAGCAACCCTGCACCAGACAGGCATAACGTAGGGCCCTGGGCAGCCTGATCTCTATCTGTGGGCCAACCGTCTATATATGGCACACTACATAGGGAAGTTCCACAGTACGAAGCAGAGTCAGAGAAATGAAATGATTTACTCTTGGCTCCACAGAAGGTGAGCTACTTCTGTAGACACAGAGGATTGGCCTTTTAGGGATAGCCAATGAATTTGGGGTCTCGGTTTTCTGGAAATGGCCAAGAAGACTAGACAGTCAACTTCTTAGAGGGCACGAACCCCTCTTCAGCTCTTAGGGATGGACAGGAATAAAGAGAGAAATCCGCCCCCCACACCCCACACACACACTCCCCAGTAACAATGTCAGGCAGCCAGAGCAGGAACTTCAGAAATGCCTGTAGGATGGGAAGATAAGTAATAACAAGAGAATTAAAGAGGTGGGAGAGGAGGGAAAAGAGCATGATTTTTGGACCGGCTAGTGTAAGCCAGAGGAAAAAATCCTGCTGGCTTTTTGCATGGACACTGGAGAGTGTTTGGAGAGAAACACACACACACACACACACACACACACACACACACTCCAGATTCTAGAAACTAACAGACTGCATCATGTTTGAGATGTCGAGAGCCCTCTGCTACTGGTAAAGACCAAGAGCCTTTTCCTTTCGGAACCTTCATTCCTGTGCCCTTGGATGGGAATTTTCCTACTCTGGAAAAAGAAAATAACTGGCAAAACAGGCCACAATTTCTTGAAGAGAATGTGGCCACAGTTATTCAGAGGCCAAGAAAACAGTTATCTACCACGAAAGTATGTTTATCTTTTGAGACACCACCTTGGGCCCATGCCTGCTGGAAAGGCCAGAAGCATTTATGCAGAAACTTCAAGCGAGACCAGATCTCTAGGGGAGGAGAATTGATTTTCTGTTTTGTGTGTCTGACCAATTTGTCCTTCGAAAATATGTGATTTGTTTTGATAAGTACGATGTGGTTTTCATATGTGTGTGTATGCAGGGCTATATACTTGTTCCACAATATGTTTGTATAGCTATGGATCATGCAAATAAGCATATACACATACACAAAAATATTTTCTAGAAATTGTACCTAACTCCATTGTGCTTTACATAATGTTTACATGACAATCTGAAGTCAAAGATATTTTGAAGATTAAAAAAGCAGAGTATGAGACTGGAGTGATAGTCCAGCAAGTAAGTGACTTGCATTGCACACAGTCAGCCTGGGTTTGATCCCAGCAGCCCATACTGTCCCCCAAGCACCCCCAGGGCATGAGAGCCAAGTGCAATCCCTGAGCATTGCGATCCAAAAACAAAACAAAAGAACCCTTCCCTTGTCTTTTCTTTCCCTTCTCCTTGTTCTTGGGATGACCAGAGACTGAGCTCATGGTTGATGTGGGGATCCCAAATAATAGTGCTGCCAGGATTGTGCTTGGTATATGTGTGTGTCTGTGTGTTTGGCGGGGGGTGGGGGGGGTGCCAAGAATTGAACTCATGACCTCATGCTTGCAAGGCAGGTTCTTTTGCCACTGAGCCATCGCGGGGCTTGACCCTTAAAATAGGTTGCTGATAACATTTGGATTCATCACTGCAACTTATTTCCCTCTTTAAAATAATGTTTCCTTTCTTTATGGAAACTTCCTAAAGGCAAAATCCAAATAAAAAGAAAACTCCCCTGTCCCTCCCTCCTTTCCTCCTTCCCTCTTTCCCTCCTTCCATCCTTCCTTCTCTCTTTCCCTCCTTACATTCTTCCTTCCCTCTGTCCCTCCTTCCCTCCCTCTCCCCGCCTCCCTTCTTTTCTTTCCACTTTAACTGGTGATTAAAATTGGTTCTTTCCCTTTAATCCTGAATTGTTGTCAAAAGGCTGAGTCTTTTGTTATCACCTCACATTGCTGGAAAACATAGCTTATTTTCCTTTTGTTTTTTGATAGAACAACTGAGAATGTTTATGGATACAAACCAGGGACAT